CTGGATAGGCCTCAAAGGAGAAGAGAGTATTCAACCTATTGTGCTCATTTGGTTCTGCTTCTCTACATTATAACCCCTTGGCCAATACCAGCTGTGCTGGTAAGCAAATTCCCCAAGTACAACATCCCCAGAAAAGCTACTGTAAATTATCCCTTTCAAACCAAACCAATTTACTTTTTGGATGGGGAGGAAACTGGAGAACTTGGGGGAAAACAGGAAAAGCATGGAAATGCTCACCACAGTGCCACCAGTGCAGGGTATAAAATGGTGTCAGCCAATTGGTGGCCCAAAAGATGCCAAGTGGGCAACCCATCAGGAGAGGGCAGATTTCAAGACATTGAAAGCATGTTTGTTGCTAATCAAAACCTTCAGCAGACGTCAGGCTTCTGGGCTTTAAAATATTGTAGAACCATTGCAGTAGAGATTCAACAGGAACTCATGAGAGCCTCTAAAAATTCGAGTTAAACTCAACAAGAACAGAAGAATTGACCATTTTGATTTTGATTCTACTGTTGGAGAGGATTTGGTCAAATCAAACTTTAACTCTTTAGTATACTTTAGCCTTAAGGCTATTTTCTGGCCTAAGCCAAATTGAATAAAATATACTTTGAATTACTACAGACAATAGGCAAATTAAAGCTACACAGAAAATGTTAAAATTATGACATTTAGTGCCTGGTTGTACACAAAAGAGTGAATATTTCTCATTTTTCCCTGTAGCGCAGAGGTGTTTATACATAATATCTCCCCCAAGGCCAGCTGTCGGTGCCCTCTGGCTGTAGGCTTGTTTTCCACTGTTTCCCTTGTCTTCTCTCTCTTGCCTAAGGCACAGGTGGGTTTATATACAGTACCCCAGATCACGTGATCCAAATCCGCCAATCAAAACCTGACAGTAACATAATAAAAGAGAAACACACAAGAATACAAGAAATACAGGAAATAAAAAGAGTGGGACACATACAGTATATATCTTAGGTAAGAAAGATAAATGGAAAATATATTAATGTAAACTTAGTATTATAGGTTATTATAATAGCTATTAGTTAAAATTTATGTAAAAATCCTTGCACTCCCATGACACGGAAAAAAAACCTGATTCACTTTTGCAGTGCATGCATTAACATCTTACAATTCAGAAGTCATCAGATATTATTAATGAAATTTCTTACTTCTGGACCAGCTTTTGCAGTGGTCTGAAAAACCTCCTCCATGCAAAAGATTTCCTATAGGTGGCAGTGTGAGCAAGAGAAACACAGAAGGAAGAAAGATGCATGAAGTTGCAGTTATGTGCAGCATTTCAACACAAATCTGCCTACCATGACATGGCCAGAGTAGGAAAACTTCCATCATGTGTTGCACGATGAAGTGAATGCACAAGTCTGAATCTCACAGTGTGGATTTTAAGAAAACACCTCTGACCTTCATCCAAAAGGGAGTGATGCACAGATATGGGCAAATTTTAGGATAAACAGAGCATTAAGATCTCTGTACATTTAGTATCTGTCATCTTGGCACAGGTCTTTTAAATGCAAGATGATTTGCAACCTCCCACAGACTTATATAATTGACTCCGGTTGTAAGCTTTCGGCACGTAAGCTTCCTGCGTAGTGAGCTTTCCTCAGAATTCAAGGCATGCCTTTAGATATCTCACATGTATTATTTTCTTTATCGAGTGTTTCATGCTCAGCTCCCGCATTATCAGAAAATACTTAATAGAAACCAAGTCTGACAGCTTGGCGGTCCAGTGCATCAGCCATTTAACAGCCTTGTTCTTAAGGGCTAGGAGCTGTCATCTCAATTGCTGAATATGAGAATGTGTTCAAGACGCAACAGTTATTACTCCAGCAGTTGCTTTGATTGTTCGGCAAGCTTGACACGAAACATTTCATTTGGAATTTCCGTGCGCAAACATAGCCAGTAGTAAAGCTCTTTTCTTGTTATAGACACTTGTCCCCGAGTGGGATCTTAGGGCTCTGAAAAGAAAGAGCAGAGAGGAGAGTAGCTTAAGCAGTTAACTTCATGGCCGTCTGCAGCCATCCCAAGTGATGGCATTATCAGCAGCGTACGCTTCCTTTCCACTCCCTGTGTTCCAGAAATTGGCTGTTGAAAAGGGAAAGAAGGGCCCATCATGGGCTTATTCTGCTTGTCAACTGCCAGCTAACGTTCATGGGAAGTTTCACGCTTGTTGAGCTTCTCTGAGGCCCTTTCCTACATTTTGAAAAGTCAGCTGTCATAAAAGCACTCTTGCTTCTCCTTGAAAAGGTCATCAGTTCACTTGTTACTTCGTGGCTCAAGGAGAAGAGGAGACGCTACCCATTTTTCTGCTTTCTGGTTTAGCCAGCTGGAGACGCTGGACTCTTTAACCTTGAAACACTGACCGGAGAGTTTCAGCAGGCATGGGGGTGTATCCTGAATAGCTTATGAAATATGTGATATTGAGGTTAACAGGACGTACTGTCAGGCTGGATGGTCTCACATATCAAATACAATATGTTTTCTGTCATAGTAGCCAGAGACTACTGTTGTCAGGAAAGTCTTTTATGGGCCCTAGTGGAGCCATGGTATAAAGAAAAAAAACTCCAGAGGGTGGAGTTGGAAAACAAACCTTTCACTGGGAAGCTTTTCAATGATTCATTCCATCCAAATCTTAATCTTTATGATATGTACTGCGCGTCTGAATTTTTCAAAAACTCACTTGACAACATGCCCCTGAACGTTAACAAATTGAATTGCTTGGCCGCTTCCTGTGACCAACATGGGACTGGAAAACAAACAAACAAAAGCTGTGTTTTAGGTGATCAGGTAAGAAAGAGATATTCCCTCGTCTGTGCCCAATGTGATGAAAAATGGTGTAGCTGTCGACATGCTGATATTAAATGCTGAGCATCTGGGGCCATTTCAAGCAAAGCTGGAAAGAAGCATCTGAGAAGCCTTTCCTATGACATTACTTGATACACGGCAAAAATACATAGAAAAAAAGAATCCTAGACATTTTACTAATTTATTCTTTTTTAATATAATTCAGTTTGGCTCGCCATTTAAGTACCTTTATCCGTTGACATTTTCCAGTCACAGAAACATTTAGATGTTTATTAGATTTCTTCCTCAAGGGGCTGAATTTCAGCTGCTGTTCCGTATTATTGCAGTCCTATCCAATCCTTTTGGCTCATCAGTATGCTGCAGCATGGTTTGGTAGTTTCCTGGCTGCTGGAACTGAAGTTACAGGACAGAATTGCATTTTTGTGCTGTGAGAGAATAAGATTAAGTAGCAGGTATGAAAGAAGGATGCTAGCAGACTGTCTTAACCTTGTGCATCGTAGGGGTGTGGGCTTGAATCCCTGCTCGCTGTGTCAAGCTGTGATCTGACCTCTGCCTGTTGAGAGGTGGGTTCCTGTACTATCACAGCGCAAGAAAGGTTGGCACCCTTCTGAGAAATCAGCCTCATCTTTTTTTTTTTCAGAGGTGAAGTAGAGGGAAGCTATGCAAGACTGCCATGGAATAGAAAAACCGAAACCTTTTTTTGAATACAGATTAGACATCCTTGAGCTGCAGCCTGAGCCAAGAGTGACTGATGGAGAAGGTTTCCTCGTCCAGTCTGGAAGACGGCACCCAGTCACTAGGAGGACACAGAGCTCCTTAAAGCCCGGGGTTCGCCTGGAAAGCATCAGACTGTGCTTATTACTTTAGCTTCAGCTTATTTTTCAAGAAACAAAAATCAGTCTGGCCACAAATATTAATTCGTTTTTACTTCTGATTTCTTTTCCGTTTTTTGTTCACATTTGCAAGATGCACACATACTCATTGCTAAATATGTACACTCAAAGACTTATATGTTTATTTCTTGATGTGATTAAACCTGCCACCCCAGCATTGGTTCATCACAACTCCATCCTTTCTGGTGTTTGCATTTAATTGAAAATTATATACATTGACACTGACCTTTATAGCAAAACACAGGACCTGAGCATGCAGGTGTAGCGGCCATTTTGGCACCATAGCTGGAAGGGTCTTGCATTAATTTGAGTGGATGCCCTACAGAGTAGGACATCTTGCATTTACATGGAATTAAACATACCCTCAATAATATTTCCTTAAATGTATTACTCTTGTACGTCTCCATGATTCTTTATTTGAGCTCTTACTAGATTTCATTAGTGCACACACTAATTTAATCCCAAATGCGGTACACCTCAAAATCTTCTTCAATGTGTGTTTGAATAGCCTGTCATTTAAAAGAGCATTAACTGTGACCAAAGCCTAATGATCTAAATCTAATGCAGTGTGAGCTGAATTCCTGATTGGTAGATGGCTACATCAGGATGTGCTGCTTCAGAATAGTTGCATGGCAGATATAATGCAATGTCACTGACCTGTTGTTAACTGCTTAGTGGGGGAAAATCATTAGGCCTTTTATCTCCACTCAAGATTATATATTTATATGCTTGGAGACAGTTTGGTAAATTCACTTTCACACACCTACATCACTTGCTTTGAAGAGCGACTTGTTCATTTCAACACAGTCCCTTCCAGCACAATGATGGCACTAAAATCTAAAGCTTATTCTTCATGGCCAAAGCAACACCCAGCCCCTGTCCCCCAAGAAAAAAATAACCCACAAAAGAAAACAAAACTAGGATTGAAAGATATCTGCTGTGTTTTGTGACATTGAACGACATCGTAATTTAGCAGATGAAGGTGTGTTTTCATCCACACATTCCCTCATTATTTTCTAATTGTATTGTAAAAGCATTTGATTTCATCCCGAATTTCATTTTCTAACCTACAGTATTGCCCTAATTATCAAGGCAAGGGAGCCTATCAGTAGTTACCTGTGATCTTAGCAATAACATCAGAAGTTATCTAACACCTATATTGGCCATCCGTCACAGGTGTAAAACCTCTTTTCCACTTTTATTAGTAAATACGTTACAAGAAGTGCCCATTAAGAAGTTAAAAGGCTCTCGCGAGATTTACCGTTTCCATGGACACCAATACACAAGCGGTCCTACTCATCGACACTTGTTGCACATTGACGTAGGAGAAAAGCACTTTGTTAATACTGTGAGAGAGGGAGAAAGCAGGGAAATAGTTTAAACAGAGTATTTATATATAAACAATATTCGTTGGCGCAGAAGATATTTAAAGGTACGGTATTTGTTGCTTTTTGTTGTGTAAGCAAGAATATTATAATCATGTTCATTATGAAAACGGACATACCGTAGCCTACGGTATTTAGGTAATAGACTATGACATGTAATATAGTTTTAAAGACCAGTATATTATTATTACGTTTGCTTTTATGGTTGTAAGCTGCTTCATTAATTCGCTAAATATGTAATACATTTATTTTCAGTTTATTCACATTTATTAAGTTTGAACAAAAACGATTCGACTTTGGACAGCATTATAAAATTGCTGAGTCAGAGTAAGGTATTTCTGTGATAAAAGCGTAATTTTTAACATCGTTTGTTCGTCTCAACTTATTTCATACAGTATGTGCATTTCCTAGATAGTAGCTAATACACCTCTGCCAGCATGTGTGTTTTTTATCACGTGAAAATATGGTTCTAGACATGCATATTAGACTACAATAGTAGTTTGAATCCTAGCTTTTTCATCGGGTTCTGAACGAAAATACCTCTGGTCTTGGAAAATAGCTTTAAATAATCAGCCACTACAAACTGTATCAATCATGTATCAGTGGCTAATCTAACAATAACAAAGTAGGCTGTATTGAAGCATAAAATATGTTCTTGCATTTCTGTTGCAGATTTTACTACAATCTCAAATCCTCACATACTCACAAGAACAAATTTTATGCTGTAATAAACAAATTGTCCCAGGTTTTTCATAAGCAATTGAAGTTAACTCAGCCAGGTTTACTTCTGTTTACACGGGTTTCACAGTCCATTACACGGTTTACCTTTAACAGCTGTGTAATAGGTATTCTGTTGTTAATACATCCTCTTCATCTATTTTTTCCAAATGTGAAAAAGCAAGGTTATGTTCTATACGTAAAAAAGGAAAGATGATAAAAACCTGGAACGATGAATTATTTTTAATTGTATATAACTTAATTTATTAAAGTTAAACATGGCATTTAAGTCACTGCTCCTGTTAATTGATAATATGAATTTGTAGGTCTAGAGTTGTTTTTTGTCCTGTGAAAAAATTTGATTGTTATATTTATTGCAGGGAAAAAGTGTCTTGGAAGCTTGTTCAACACTGGGAAAAACATTCCTTCAACAAGAACCATGAATTTAAATGATTTTGTGGCTGTTACAAACAAGCCTAAGTCAATGAAGTTAAAGGCCAGGTAACAGCAGTGTGGTTTTTCCATTGTTGTGTTTCAATCAAAGTGAATCTAAGCCTCTTTGTGTAGTTGGGTATTTGACAGCTAATGTAATATCAAGCAATGGAATTTGTTAGATATTTTTACTTATTTTGTTGTAGGTATAATATAATAAGTAGTTAACATAAGTTTTTTTTTATCACTTTTATATTAACTCAGTCAAACCTAACTTGGAACAGGAAAAAATAAGGGTTACTTTACAAGTTACCAGATTAAATCTCAGTTTTTACTTGCAACATCTTTATTTATTGAGAGTGTAATGTCCTCTTACTTTTCCCACCTCAGGAATCTTGGAGAGATGAAGCTTGAGACAGTACAGCTGGAGCTTGAGAGTAAAGACATGGAGAGTAGACTTCAGCAGCTAAGACAGAGCATGAGCAGAGAAAAAGAGGAAAGAAAGTAAGTGGAAATGCCTTGGAATTATTCTGCAAAGGAATAGATAAAAGCCCATTCCATGCTGGAAGGTAAAGAGAAGAAACACTAAGTTTCACTGGGATGTCTTCTTCAGGTGGACCTTCTTCAAAACTGAAAAGTAATATTTTCTTTCTTTACCTTTCAGCATAGAATGAACCTTTACCTGTTCCTTTGAAGCCTATGCATGCTGACGCAGCTCCCTACTCATATGTCTAGAATTATTCTGTTTGAGTTGCCTGCTAGACTACTATTCTCATACAGAACTCAGATTCTAATACAATATATCTTTCTTAGGAGCTACTGACACTGCTTTCTGGCCAATAATGTTAATTAAGAAGCTAACAGCAGCTCCATAAGGAACTAAATTTCCATTTCTAATAGAAGATGTGTTGGATGAGCATCTTTTGACAACCTCATGAGTCATATTCTTATTACCAAATAATATACTATTAGAATAGAGGTGAACAAACATGAGACATGAGGCCTTTAAGTCTACTGCAGTGCAGCCTTTCTGTACAAACAGCTGCTAAATTATGGAGATGAATTAACCAATGGTTCTTCAAACAAATAAATTGTTTGTGCTGAAATCCCACATGGAAAAACACCGGCAGAGCTGGTATTTGACTTTTCCTGCCTTAGATGTGCATAGCTCATTTTAAACTGTAAAATGCAGAGGAAGTCTTTCCAACAGTAATTATATCACTCACTAAAGCCAAATTTAATCCACAGCTTAAGTTAAGTCTTAGATTATTTATTTTAATATGTAAGAGCTTTATTATCAAGATTACATTGTTAGCCATGCTCTGACTAAAGGGACTGTTGAAAATGTCTGATATTTGGTCTACCATCTGTAACTTTTAGCGTGCAGAACACCAGCCTATGCGTACCTTTAACACCGTGAGCAGTGCTTTTGAGTGTCAACACACAGAACACAGTGTTAAGGACCATGTGTTATGCAGTTAGGTGCTACAGCAACCAATCCCCAAGAGATGTAGGTTCCTTTGGGATGGAAAGAACTATACAAATGCAGTCAATCATTAATTGTTGCTATTTTCATTATTAGTAGCATGTCAATATTTAACTGTATAGTGGATATAATCTGAAGTTAAAACTTCCACTACAGGCTGCCTACTTTCTTTTCTTAAGTCAAATTACAGTACATTCTATGAGGAGAGAGATATATTAAACGACTTAATAATTGTACAGTATTTACTTGATCATGTTTAAACAAGTGCAATAGACTAGCGTCCTGCCCAGGGTGTATCCTGCCTTGCTCCCGTGGCTCACTGAGATAGGCCCCCTCTCCCCGGTGACCCGGAATAGGATGAAACAGAAAATGGGTGGATGGACATTTAAACACCTGTCATATTTCACATATTTTACAGGATGGCTCACAGTATGTTTTTTCTTCTGAATCTGTAATAGCTGTACAGCAATATTAAATGTTTTTGTTCAGATGTGTTAAATACTTTTGAAGGCTGTTTTACTAAAAAAGCTTTTACTTAAAAATTACAGCAGTAATTTAATGGTGCAAAAATATACAGAGTCACATAAAAAATGTAACTTGTGTACATTTGGAACCAATAGCATTTGTGGCATTTTTAAGTGATTCAATATATAAAAGTAAATCTTGACTAATTGATATTAATTTAACACTGTTTTCTTAATGATGTTCTGAGTATAGCTTTTGAAAATGGTCAATTAGGAGAAGTGCACTGGTTTTGTACAGTAATGATGTTGATATGAAGATAATTAATCTAAATATTGTGATTAATATTTTTTTTCTCATTTATATACACACATTCAGAACATTAAATATTTTCTTTGCAGGTACGATTTATTGAGTCTGAGAAGGTATATATTCATTTTTTTCCAAGAACCAGTAGCTGGAATCTTGTATTGAAGAGTTTATTGACCTTTAGCAGAGAATCACAGCTGCAAGAGAACATGTTTTATTGAAAGGCACTTATCACTTCTTGGTATGTGGCTGTAAGGCAGACTGAAAGTGAAATCACAAGAGGTTTAACACTGAACATTGCTGAGGAATTTTAAAGCTATACAACACATATACAGTATGTCTACTGAACATAATGAAAACTTATATTTGTAAATGTGAAATTAAAAAGGGAAAAATATGAATACACATGAATCATTATGAATATGTGTAAATTGCAACATTAGATTTTGCCACAAAAATATTCTTTTATCTCATGGTTTCATTTTGAGTAACATTTTGACGTTCTCCTCAATAGTCTGTGGTTTAGGTGTAAAAGAGAAATAGAAAATATGATTGCAAACAAAACAGTAATACCACCTCTCCATAGCATTCTACATGCATCCGTTTAATTTATTACATATTTTACTTGATCTCCCCAATGAAATGATTGTAATCAAAGAAACATGACTAACTGAAAATGATAGAGATTAATGTAATATTACTGGATACACAGAGAGATAGGAAAGATAATGTAGGTGTAGCACTGTATCAAAAAAAAATATTCTAGTTCAGGAACTAAACATGTACTATTCTAAAGGTATAATGTGTGGAGTATGCTATAGACCACCTAATGTAGATTTTGTTTGTAATTCAGCACCGTGTAAGAATGTTAAATGTACAAAAGGAATCAGACAGCTTAATACAAGTAGAATGGAATAGGATAGATATGGATAACAATTGGAGCACAAAAATGATTTATCCCGACAGTGGATAAAGTACAAGCTAAATTTATTCAACAAGTCAGTTAGGAAATATATAATGGGAAGAAAGTGCTTTATAAAATGATTAAAAAACACAGGATCCAGTTAGGAAAGGAGTACAATAAATTCTAACTACAGGTTAAAAAGGATGTGGGATGTGAAGCGAGAGATGGAAAGGAATAATGCAATGGATACTAAAATTAATAATCCTTTTTTTCAGTACTAAAACAGCAACATAAGCATTCAGAAAAAAAAGTATAATGTATCTAGGACAGCAATGAGAAATGAAAGAGAAATGGCTGATGTACTAAATGAGTATTTCACTCAGGTATTCGCTGAAAAATAAGTCAACAACATGCCTCAGGCAGTGGAAAGATGAAGTTCTTTATTAAATAGTTTTAGCGTAAAAAAGGCTATAGTGTTTTGGGTGCTAGAAGCACTCCAGATTAATAAATCTCCAGGGCCAAATTATATTGTACCAACTCCAATATTCAAACAACATAGGAATAGCACCCACACATTGCAAAATTGCTATTGCAATGTCCATCCACAAGAAGAGTAACAACAATTAGTAACTTTATCCAAGTATTTATAAACAGATAAATGTGATATCTGTTACATGTAAGGATATGGAAACAATTATTAGAACTAATCTAGAGAATCATCTATATTGAAAGAATATCCTAGGAAACAGTCAACAAAGAAAGGGTAAGTCCTGTCAGACCAACTTATTAGAGTGCTTTGAACAACAACAGTAATGCATGGACAGAGCATACAGTGGACAGTGTACGGTGTACCTAGATTTCATAAAACAATAATTGTCAAATTAAAGATAGTAGACGTTGAGGGCAATATTTGTATTTGGGCTTAAAATTAGTTAATAAATAGAAAGTAGAGAGAACAGGTAAGAGGTAGTGTTCAAACTGGGCTGATGTAATCAATAATGTGCCACAGGGATCTGTCCTAAGACTACTGCTCTTCCTAATTTATATAATTGATTTAGATTCTGGTTCAGTTAACCTACTCAAGTTTGCAGATGATAAACAAAATGGGTTGATTGGCCAACATAGAAACAGCAAAAGAAACTCAGTAAGATTGATTGAAATATTCAAGGCTGGGCAGTCACCTGGAAGTTCATGTGTAATGTAAGCAAGTGAAGGATCTTGCACTCAGGAAAAACAAACTGTACATGCAAAATGGGAAATTATGAGATAGAATAGGCTACTTATGAAAAAGACCTAAGTGTTTATGTTGACACATTTTTTAACATTTTGTAGACTAAGTAGAAAAAAATTAAAAGGCAAACAAAATGTTAGGATATATGGACAAAAGGGTACAAATTAAAATCAAGGGAAGTTATATTAAAATGTATATTGCATTAGTGAGCCTTCTTTAAGATTGTGTACAATATTTTGTACAATATATTTTGGTCATCATGTTATAGAAAGTGTTGTAGCTCTGGATTCAGTCCAGCAACCAGATGTGTTCCAGGACTCAGTGGTATGGCCTGCATTGACAGGATTAAAGAACTGAATCTTTTTAGTCTTGAACACCCAAGGATGTCGTACATAGTGGTAAAGAAGAGAGAAAGAAAAAATATAATAAAAAGTAAAAAAAATGAAACAAGAACATAAAGGATAAGCTGTAAAGCCCTAGTAAAAAAGTGAGCTTCAAGTTTAGATTTTAAATTATAGCTACCAAACAGGCTTTATATGCTGCATGGCCTTCTGTTGTTTGTAACCATTTTTCTGTTCTTAAAAGGGAACTGCAGTCCCAATTTTTCACAGACTGGGTATGAAATCTCAGTAACAAAATACATTCATTGGTGGTATAGCAAAATTTTACAAATTTCTAATTAAGCACAATAAATCTTGAACTTGCCATGTTGTTGAAAACCGCTGGTTTCACCAGTTCATACAAATTGCGATGTCCCTTTTTGCTCTCTAGTCTCTAGAGATAGACTTTTGTAAGACAAAATGGAAACTTGGTCTCCAAATAATGTTAATCCTTTTTTTGGCTTTCTCAGCTCACATATACTGTATATTAAAAATGATGCCTCACTTTTGAACATTTGAGCATTTGGCTGTGCAGAACGTAGTGGTTGCACACAAAACAGAGGAACAGATCAGCAGAAAGTCTGACTTTTTAGTTTTTCAAGGGATGTTCAACTAGCCAAGAGATGGGTGATAAGCATGGCCACTGATGTTGGAGATTTTAAGTATCTTTAATTAGATGCATATTACATATCATCCTGGTCTTCAGTATTTAAGGCATTACTTGGTTCTATTAGATAACTGAGACCTGGGTTTGGATGCAAACTTGACAACCCTGTAGCTCTCCACATTCAGCGTTCAAGACCCTCTGGCCTGTGCATTTATTTTCTGAAAATCCCCTGCATTAATAAGGCTATAATTTTTACCCAAAGACTACCATGGTGTGGATTATGAAGAACCCGTTTGAGGGCATATTGTCAAAATACACAATGGCATAATTTATTTAATGAAATTTTGCTTGCTGTAGAGGATAGTGCATATATCACATTATAAACCTCACATGCTCAATCATAATACATTGTACAATAATTCCACCTCACATGCTCAATCATAATAAATTGCATGGGAATTCCATGGGGAAATGCATACCAAGATAAGTTTATATTTCAGCATAACACATATGCTTTGTTCAGTGAAATTCATTTATCATTGCATGTAAGTTACACAGTGTAATGTGATGAAGATATATTTAGAAACTGCTTATGCAAAAAGTAGTGAAAAATGCACATAATAGTTAAATACATACAGTATAAATCATTTAGAAAAATACTGAATAATGGTACTGCAAAAATGTCATGGAGTTAGGAATTCAGTGACTGAAAATATTACATTCATAGTCCATGGTCTATGTTGAGAAGATATACTTGTTTATTAAAGCATCTGCCTTAGATTTTAGATTTCTTTTTAGAATAGATGAGTTGGATTATTTGTGGTTGTTGTATGTTTAAATCATGATTTTTATCTCCCCGAAGCAGTGGTTGCATTGGTTATGCAGGGTGGTTGAATACAGAACAACATTAATATATTCTAGCATGTATAGAGTTTTCAAAAGATGGAGCTCGGGTGCAAGCAGGGACTTTTCATTTTTAAGGTTTCAACCTAAATTAGTCCAAATTATTCATCCTTGTGTTTTATTTCCCATCCCATTGTGTGTTGCTTTCCTTTGAGCTAGTCCTGCAATGTTCCATCCAAAACATTAATTTACTTGGACCTTATTTATGATTGATACACATTTACTTCCTACAGTAGGTTAAATCTAAAGTAGTACTTTAATATTCAATATGTCTTAGATGTTTGTAAGGCTATAAAACACTGTGGTCCATATCTTTAATTGGCTTCATCCATGTCTTCTCAGTCTTAAGGGCAAGGTGATCTGTATTAAAGTATTTTTATGGATGTCATAAAGCTGTTGATGTCATGTTTTGCCATGTGCAGTTCTCCATCTAATCCATTCAAAATATCCTTAAATATGGAATGTTGCATAAAATGACAAAGGAAGTAAAATTATTCTATATTTCCAGGAAAAGTAGTTGATGCTACTCCACTTAAATCACTATTATTTACCTGTTACTCTATTCTGTAGTACATATCATTCTGTCTTTCAGAAATTCAGAAGTATATCACTGGAAGTCAGGACAAGCTGGTAGACTGAGTAATCAAACACAAGGACCGGCACAAAATAAGGAGAACAGTTTTCAAAAGGTGAGGAAACCCAGGGACTTCTTCAGGATCAAGAGTAAAACAATTAACACATAGAAAACACAATGGGAACTAAGGAGCAGTACATTTGAGACAGAGAACACAAGGCACTTCTTTACACAGAAGGTTGTGAGAGTGTGGAAAAAGCTACACAGTCATGTTGTTGAAGCTGATACCCTGCCTTCCTTCATCATACAGATGGATGAGATCCTCAAATGAAATGGCTACCTCATCAGTTTGCAACTGATGTTCTTCAAAGTATTTATGTATTGGCATGGTTTGTTTTGGTGTCATGTTGTTGGTGTCTGGTGAAAAGTATCTGACAAGCGTTTTTGCAGTCTGCAAGCCAAAAGCACAACCAGCAGAGCTTTGTTTTCTGCCCGAGGATAGACAAGACCATTTCTGATTACACTCAACATGGTGAACTGAGATTTCCCTAGTCCCATCCAACACTGGTAGTGCTCAGATAATTATATAGAGCTGCTGGGACATCAAGGTGTTTCATATACAGTAATGATGTGAATAATTTGTAGATACATACAAGAAAAATAATTAACTGTTTTAATTTGTTGAAGTAACTGCCACACCACCCTGTAGCTTGGAATTCCCACCCTGTAGCTACTCTTAATTTTGCAGTATCACAGAAATCTGTTTTTTGTGGTCAACTTGTAGCAGTTAGTTCTGGATGTAGTCTCTTCATCCTTAGTAACTACCAGGACCGTTAGAAAGGCCTAAAATGTGAAGCTGCAGCACAATGCTTGAAATTTCTAATTAATATCTAATTACAATATTTTTCAATGGCTAGCTCCTCCTTGCTAAGGAAGAATCTGTATTATTATCATTCTGAAAGGAATTCCTCATATTAACTGCTCAACAGCAAATTACAGTAAAAAACAGAAGACACTCTGATTTGTTTGTATTATTCTGTACAATTAACAATGGAGCTTTGCTTATAACATAATAATATTTTTCCTACAATGTTCAACAAGCCTTTAAGTTATCTTGGATTACTTAATATTCTAATTAAGTACAAATGTATTTGCATTATTCTTTTCGTTATAGTTCTCAGTTGGAAACATGAAGGTAAAAGTTCTCAAAGATCAACCTGAAGGTATGTGTGTTATATTAAAAATGTCACTTTTCTGTACTGTTGAAATAGACGTTGTGCAACCAAAGAAAAATGCTGTTTGCGATAACCGTGGTTATTGTAATTTAAGCAAGTCATTTTCATGAAGGTTTTGATTTTTTTAAATGTTTCTTTTGCAGAGTTCAAGAAAACACTGGCAAAACAGCAAACATCAGTGAGTTTGGAACCAAGCCGAAAAACTAAACTGAAGGGAAAAGACTGTGGACAGTGCGAATCAAAAAAGGCCGGGGTGGTAGGTGTCAGTTTAGTAAATCACTTAACAGCTGCCTGTGCATTTCCAAGGAGTCTCAGATTGTTTAGCATATAAATCAGGAAACCTGTGGTGAGACGTGAATGTTTTATGTAAAAAATAAATTGAGAGAATGTACAGACGACATTTGCAGATCAATGTATCCAGGCCTTACATCATACAGATATCATGGACAGTGTTATTTATTTGATGAGACTGTTTGAAAATTACAGTTTGTGGAAATTGTGGTACGTTTTTCTTTCATTTAACAGGCAATCTTGTAAAAGACAAAGTGATAATAAAGATAAAAGAAAATGTATTTTTCCTATCTCATAATTTCAAGATCTTACAATATCTTATAATTATAATTTCAAAATCAGTCCAGTTTAGATTTTCTGTTATATATGCAAATATTTGACCATAGTACATTGCTGCCTATGTTTACCAGCCCCTGTTTTTTTTAATATGGAAACAGTGGTAATATACAAATGGGTTTAATGTCTTATCTACTGTAGCTGCTTTTTTCCTTATACATGGTGCAAATATTCTTATAAATTTAAAGTAGCATTTTCCTTTTTCCAAATTGAAGAAAATGAAGCATTCCTGGCATAGAATCTTAAGAGAGAGCTCCAGGAAATCCGTGCACTAGGACGTATAGCCCATTCATATTCAATGAGGTTAATTGAGCAGCTCATGGCAAAGTTATTTATAGATAGAGCATGCATGGTACGTTTGACGTTAGTTCTCAGTTTCTCATTGGCATTTACAGTTAAACTCAGAGACAAGGCATTGATTTCAATTACAGTCACCAAGTTCATGTTCCAAGAACGACACTGAAGTGAGAGTATAACAGTATATTCATTGCTGTTTGTAATAGTGAACGGAGCTGGTAACAACCTTGCTGTTCCTGTAAAGTATGCAAATAATGACTTAGTCTTTTGTTTCATATCCACAAAACACATAGTGGGAAGGATAATTCTATTGAGAATGTGACCAGCACAAGGTTAAACAAGTTTTTTATTACACCAATAGAATCACGCAAACCTTGTAGGAATTAATAAACCAAGACAAATTAACACAGTATCTTGAATGAATTAATCCTTATTTATTCCTTTTTATGTCACAAAATAAAGCTTGTCTGTTTCTGTCAATTATGGCCACAGCTGTGAAATCAGGCTGCGTTTCTTCCTAACATTGAATAGAAACAGGCTGCCATATTTAGCTTGCCAAACATGAAGTCTGTCAAAGGGGGCATATCACTGCAAGTACACAGAGGTGGGACATAACATCAGTAGGTCCCAACAGAGCTTCTGTAATGGATAGGGTTGTGTGCTTATGATAAGCTAGAATATTAGAGTATTGTATTTTTGTTTCTTATTTATTTCATTTAGCTGTTCCTGATTTTAAGTAGTATTTTGTGTTTTTAGAAATAATTAGGTCCCTTTAGGTTAAGGTGCACATTTTATATAAAAATATAGCCTTATTATTCTGGATGATATAGAATTATATATATTATATCAGTTTTACTGTTAAGACGATCTTCTAAAGATTTTTTTTACTCCTTTGAAGATGTGTGTGGAATGTGGAGAAGATTACTGCATTGGGTGTTTTGCCAGATTCCACCAGAAGGGGGCACTGAAATTCCACAGAATGATACCTATTCAGGTATGACAAACTCTCAAAGTCATAATTACAGTAGTTAGGACAACAGAATGACTTTTGGTTTTCTTGTTTTCCCAAAGCATGAAGAATAGAATATTTCAGTACCATTATCACATTAAAATTAACTGGTCACAAAATATTAACTTCTAAAATTAGATATGGTGAAGATACAGTACATGTAATAATTTGTTTGCAGGACAGAAGAACTAATGCATTTTTCATAAAAGTGTAATACTTTTTTTGTAAACTGCAACATAAAAAGGTTTTATTCATTCCAGTTGTCTAATTATTTCAGATTTAATGTTTTGGCAAAAAATTGGTTTTATCAAAACCTGCCAGTTTACAACACACTACGTTACTATTATGGTGATATCGTGAGACTCAAGAAACACTACATCTTTTTGCAGAACATACAGAGCTGCTAGCATATCTTGCACTTCATTGCACTTAAGTTATTATATACTGTGTTGTAGTACCTTTTGTTCTGCCACTTGTGCATTGTTAACTCAGGAATTAATCTGGTCTGAGCTTCTGAATCCTATATCTTAGAGGTTTTACTGTACAGTACAGTGAGTATTTAAACATGTACATTTCTAATACCATGAGAACAATTAAATATAGTGAGGGTTTTTGTTTTACCTTGCTTTCTTTTCCTTTGTAAAGTTAAAAAAAAAGATTTTCATCACAGTATCCATACTGTATATACATCAAACACTTTGCACTTTGCAAAATGCATTTGTACCCTGCAATGGACATGGGCAACTATAAAAAAAAATAAACCTTGACTTGTATTTTTTTGTTAAATTTTTCTTTAAAAACAAAAACTGCACTGTACAACCCTATTTTTTTGCTCTTTGTTTAATGTGATAATTATTGCAATTAACAATTGCATGCAAATGGGAAGACAATATTTATATATAAGAACATTAAATACTAATTATATTTTGAAACATATGTATTATGCCTCTACTCTTTAACCTAATGCTGATAACTCCAAGAGAATGTCAACAACAGGGTTGTATCTGTGACTGAATGTCATGCTAGCCAGATGAATCATGTTTGTCAAATAAAATTGATCCAGCATTTTAAAGTGCAGTTCAATCTTTCTGTCTTAACCGTTGCTGAAGCACTGTTGCTTAACATTGCTAGGTTAGTAAGCATTGTACTAAAGTAGACTCAAGGCTGGATTTCAATTCTGAACCAAAATGCTTACACCACTGTTAACCATTATGTTACATTCATTGTTACATTGCTGTGTGAATACTGCAGGTTAGGTGTGCTGTTCACATTGCTATTGAATTTATGTATTTAGACTGTTTGATTTAATACACACCCAAATGGATCAACCTAACTGATGTAGAGCAATAAAGGGGTGCAGGAATTGTGTATTATAAATACTTTGTAGATGCTTGGGAGTGCCACTTCGGTTGACGTTGTCAGTGCCTTTAAGAATTTTGAATATTTGGCTCAGCTCCCCTTGTATTCTTCTCTGTTCAGGATTAGAAAGGTTCAGTTCTTTTAGTGTGTCAGTGTAGGACATTTATTTAAGACCATGATTGCATGTAGTTTCTCCCGTCTGGGCTGGCTCCATGATAGCAGTATCTTTTTTGCAATGTGATAACAAAAATTGGACACAGAATTTGAAATAAAGTCTAGTGCATTGTACTGTACATGCAGCAGTTTCACATAACGTTGTTTGATTTAAAATCTACTCCTTTAACAATATGTCATAACTTTCTGTTTTCCTTTTTCAAAACAACAACCAATGGCAACAACAAAATAAAATCAGCACATATGCACACATTCAGCTTTATCTATTGGCAAAAAGTAGTACTTGGATTAAGCATCCCTGAAAGCTTTACAGGGTAGTGATGCAGTTTGCTTTAAATTAATGTAATAATCATAATGTTCTTTTCTTCTTTCTCATGTACCTTTGCTGTAATGAATCATGGAAATATTCTAGAAATTGCATAAAGTGCCTTTTCAACTGTAATAGATACTGTTAGAGTTTGTAGAGAGATACAGGTATTTGTAGAAATGGTGCGTGCAGTTTTTTATGTCTTATGATAAAGCACATTAAAAGGTATATACCATTAAGTGAAAATACCTAATCATATCTCTTGTGGTCACATTGATTTGCTTCCAGCTTGCTTTTCAACATCATTAAACATGCCAATAAAATCCAACACAAATTACCTGGCTCACTTTTAGCCTTTTTATTTCAACTCAGGATAAATGGGCTCCATTTGTCTGAAAAATAGACCAGAAATCCAGTCCATAAAGTACTTGCACAGCAAAAATAAAACAAGATATATAACATCCACAGTATACTGTTTGTGTGTTTTCACATAGAACCATGCAATTTTACTGTACCATGCAATGAACTGTATCTGTGCAATAGGTATGAGGTTATTTATCCATATACAGTATGTGTTGCATACTTTTAACAGGAGACATTTTGGTGAATTAAAGAGGTTATTTTTTAGACATACAAAGACTGCTCTTTTAAGACTACAAATCTTTGCTGCCAGTCATGAATGACAAGTTTTTGATGTGAAAGGATATATACTTACACCCCATGTGGATTCCACTGAGTTTGAAATTCAGGCACATAGATGGCAGAATTAAGTTCATGCTGAGAGCAGTCAGTCAGTGAAAGTATCACATGGCCTAAATTTATAACCTTTTTCACAATGCACCTACATTTCTTTTTTGTTGAAATTGAACAGTTTTCAGTCATCAAGAATCTTGAAAAATAACATGAATATGAATTGTTTACCCTCCCACTTAACATATTTTTTTCAGTGTGCTGATTATAATGCTTCAAGGACATGTGGATATTTAATAGAGGTGAAGCAGATGTGAAAAATGTATTCTGACAGCAATAAGGAGGCCATTTTCAGTATCCTATTTACAAAATTGCTTATGTAACAAGACAACAGTGCATTCATTAATAATCCAGTCTTGATTTGACAATGAAGAAAATCTAAGAATCTCATTTTTTTTACAGGAAAGAGATTAGTCTGGGTAAAAAAGCGTTAAGCTGTATTGCTGTCTGCATGCAAAAGGATCCCCCAGTACAAAAATACCCCCAAACCCCAAATAACTCAACTGGTAAAGATGCTTGCACAGGTTGAGCTCTATGGCCATAGGTTTGAGTCAGGGTCATCTTGATTGCTGACTGACTAGAATTCCTCAAGCAGTGGTGCACAGTTGACTGGATATGGTGGGATTTGTCGGGTTCTCACAGTGACCTCCTGAGTGCTGGCAGGCATGCAGTGCTGCTAGTGAGGGATGCCCTTCTTCTCCAGCTGGCTTCGGACCTCCAGTGAGGGCTGAGGTGTGTTCGAAGATGATTAGTTCGAAGGTGGGTAACAATGCAGGTTCTTGGGAGGAGGCACGGTGAGCACCGGTAAAAGTCAATGCCCCGTTTCAAAGGGCTGGAGGCACCGGTGTGAGGTCAGAAAAAAGGGAGTAAAACAAAAAAAAAAGAGAAGGAGAAAAGGAAGAAAAAAGTGTCTGTGTGGAACAGTGGCGTCCCGGCTGGAGTAAAAAGAAGCGAGGCCTGAACACTCAACCTGCCCCAGTGAGCATACACAGCGTGACAGGGGAGGTAAAGCTCAGCCTGTCCTGATAAGGATACACAGCGGGGACAGGAGAGGAGGAGAAAAAAAAGGCCTTACGCCTCTTTCTTCACAGTCACCTCTGGGACTGTCGCTCTAATATCTCTCTTTCCTGGGGTTTCATGACTAGTCCTGCTAGCTGGTTCTTCCGGTGAAGTATTCAGTCTGTTCTCAACCTACTTCCCCAGCTGTGGCTAATCCAAGATTAACTGCCCCAGCTGTGCTGGCCAAGGCAACGCGTCACCCTCAGAAAAGGGCTCTGCCTCCGCTCTGAACATGCCCCGCGTAGCGCCACATGGGTTAGTTGACGGAGTCTCTCTAACTCTTCCTTATTCTCCCCTGTGTGTGGACATGGGGATTCATGGCTGTGAGCTGATATAGTTAAAACAAAATTTGGCTCGTCTAAATTGGCTGTGTATAGAAAAAAAATAATTTAAATCAAAACTGAATAAACTGTACAACAATAATCCACATTCTAGAACATTTTAAACTTCTCCTAATTAATTGAAAATGAAATATATATTTATAATCTTGAAATAATACTTTGAAATGGTTTAAAATCCTAAAGCAATACACCCACCTAATTCTCTTTAATCGCAAATTGTGATTGAACTCAGTTTGAACACTGCAAAACTGTGTACTAGAGCAGTAGGGAGGAGAAGCATGTTCTGAAAAAGGCACATGTCAGAACCATCCACCATTTTTACAGTGCAAGTTTTCACAGTGCTTGCAGAAGAGGTGGCATCAATTGAAAGAATATTGGATGTCTTGCTAATGATGGTGGAAGCTCACTGGAAACCAGTAAATCTCAGGCACCACTGCTCAGAGAATCGTCTTAGGTGACTAATCATATACTCGGTCTTAGTCCTGACAATAGCTGATCTATGGTTCGTAATTTGTCCGACCTCTAAGCAAATTTGCCAGTTGAGCCATACTGGAATGATGTTCATTACAACAGGTAATTTGTTTGGCTCTCTGGGCATCTTCAGTGCTCAGCTAAGAGCACCCAGACAAGTTAAATTCAGTAAAATATACAATTGTAGCCCATACAACTTCAGAAAGGATCCTTAGCTTGACCACAACGCAGTCTTGGAGCTTCAGACACGTCAATTGTGTCAGTTTGACAAGCAGCTTTAACTCCTGGGGCAGGATTTCAACCTACTCTCCTTTTCAGAGGTGTATGATTACTTTGATTAAGTGTCCAAGACAATGATGCAGCACTGTGAGTGCAAAAGTGTAACTTAAAATCATAGTCCATCTTTGTATGTTTGGAGGTAATTAAATCTAGAAAGACTAGACATAAAACTGTGGGCCAGACCTCCAATAAGAATCTATTTACTGTGCAGCTTATACAGTATTGCCTTCAGTTAGTACACAAAATATGTGTTTAGGTTTTTATATTGCCAACGCAATACTTTGTCAGTTCAATGCAGATTTTTCTTTTTTGCTGAGTGTTTAGTTGCAAGTTTTATTTTTTACCTCTGGGTATCATTGAAAGCCAGATTTCAGGCCTATAGGTAAAGAAAAAGATTTGAACTGGTCATGTTTGATTAATTTTCATGAACAATATGTTTTGCTTATAGTAAGAAATAAAAATCCAATCAGAATTTGTATTAAGGCATTCATGTGGTTATTTATATTTTATGTTTTTAGGTCATTGAAATGGAAGGTTCTGAGCATAACTTTTTAAGTACAATTTCATTGTACTGTACATATTACAGTAATATTTTAATTACTTATTACTTATTATCTTAGCTTTCAAGTACTCAACTTTCAGTACTCAGTTGAGTTTGTACCTTGGCAGGGTTTAAATGAATCAAGAAATTCAGGAAAATGGAAATGTGAACAGTGAATTTAATGGATTTGATTATGCCTGGTACTTCACAATTTATAACTTTAAATGCATAACATTTAATTATGTATTTAATTGTATTGTTTATTTTTGTTTTATTAGTCATTGCACTATTTAATGACAATATTGTAATCAATGATTGCAAGCAATGATGTCTTTGACACTTAAGAAAATATAGTATTAGATTACCAACTTTTAAGACTAGCATGTCTTGCTAGGGCTTGACAGTATTTGCCCCGTGGGTATGGGAAATATTGGAAAAGACATAAACAAGTGTTTAAGTGCTGTTTATTGTTAACATTTTTAAATCTAGAGAAATTATTGTTGACATTCTTGTGTTGTGCCCGAATACCAAAATGTGGAATTTACAGACATAAGAAAATAACCTAGGAAAGTAAGGACACTTTGTTTAATGTGTAAAACATAGAATCGGTTACTTAATACAAACAGGAATTATCTAAAAAACTATAGTATAATAAAAAGATGTGTTCAATAGATGGGTATCTTTCTTAGGTTTTAACAGTTTCTTAAAGTAGCTGCAGTAAACTTTGGCACATGTAGGCTTTATGATATTGCTAACTTGAATTTTCAGATTGATTTTGATGAGGTACTTCTTAGTTATAGATCTGAAATTCACAGTTTTATTTCAAAGAGACTCAGTAATGATTAATTATCTCAGTCAAAATATGATCAATCACGTATAATTAATTCAAAGAAAGATCTGCAGAAGCACTCCTTCTTTAGGGGTTGCTAAATCTTTCTAAATCTTGCAGCTTTAATTTTTTTTCTAAATTTTATTTTAGAAATGTTTATAAATGGATAACAAACTAGCCATTAGTAGATCAATGAAGCATTATAAATGGTAAGAACTAACTTCTCAGTAATTCCAGGGTTAGGCGTGTTGGTTCTGGCTATGGTCAGGATTAGGATTTTGTTACTAACATGCAATTACTTTACATTAGAACTTGGTTTTATCACACTTCTATCACCCTATTAGTACTTGACTAGCATTTATAAAGAATTCAAAAATGCCATTTTCAACCCCTAATTTAATGTTTTACGGACAATTATTAATGCGGGGCCACTTTCTACAGGCTAATTAAATTCAGTAGAATCATGTAATGTATTAACTTGAATATGCAGAATGGCTTGTTCTTGTTTTATGCTCCTTTTTATGTTTTGTAATATAAGACTTTAAACTGATTATGGTATTCTTTTTATAAAAAAAGTTTTTTTTTTTAAATGGACATTGTAGTGCAGTTGTTCCCACAAATTGTCTAGCAAACTAATTATTTTTAACAGGTGAAGTTAAGTACATTTCTTTGCTAGTAATAAACAAACATTGTTTATTGGATGGTACACAAAGTTTTTATTAATGTTCTTTTTTAACTCTTTTATAGTTTATTAACTTTTAAAGTTTAATAAACAACACTCTTGTTTAATCTGCATTACAAGATAACAAGACTATTAAATTCACTGTCGGGTTAAATTTGAATTGTAATTAAATGGCCTCGAAGGATGCAGAAGTCAATCTTTAATTTATATCTTTTATTGCTCACCTAACAGATGGAGATCCAGACTTCCGTCAGCACATTAGATGTTGTTAGTCAGTTTAAGAAACAAATTGATCCTGAAGAATCAGCTGTGAAAACCAAACAGAGGGATGCCGTAATGGGCAAGCAGTCACCTGTAAGAAATCCGTCACCTGAAATTAATAGAAATGCTGAGGTAAGTGAGGTCACTGAAGTAGTAAATAGATAGTGATTTCTCTCAACATTTTGCACATTATTGTGTTTTAGTTTCCAGTGCAGGTTCTGCTTCCTAAATTGGGATTATCCCCAATGTAGCTTTAACTGCAAGCTTTAAAAGGGCAGATTTTTAATGTATTATAAATATGATCATAAAATTAAAAATTCAGACCAAACTGTAATTTTTAAATATAGATGAAAACATTGTTGTATGCCTTGGTATAGCATGTTGTGTAGATTTTACTAGGGAACTTAAAAAGTGCAACATTTTAAGGTAAATTGTGATTTCATGTTTAACATGTGCATCTAAGTTTCTCCAATAGTTGCATTTTTCTGCTTTTTCATTTAATTTTAAATTTGTAATTACACAGTCACTGATTCAAAATGTAGCAGATACCCAATTGCTTAGATTAAAAAATCATCATTATAACAAGTTATGTTAGGTCAGTGAATACATAAACCAGTATATATTGTCATACTGTATGTTCTGTATTCAAACACTATGCAGATTCCTCCTGAATTTAAAACTTAAATATACTGCTGATTTTAATAATTTAGGTGCTCACAAGGTAGAGGTGGAAATGTCATTTACTATTATCTATAACAAAATGAGGTAAAAAATTAAGGCTTAATATTAATGAGTTTGTAGGGGTCTTTCTGCTAATTTGAAGTGCATTACAGAAGTTGGAATTTCCACCAATTTGCATTTGATAATAATGTTAATTTAAAAATAATTACTTCAAAGAGACAATTTGTACAATGACCGGGATGATGGGTGCACCAAGCACCGAATTTCATGGGAATAAATTTGATAATGTTTCAACTTGCATGAACAAACTAATGAATAACTTCAAACTAATCAGTGCCTTGATGTAAAATTTTAGTCAGGCATTTTGTATAATTATTTCTACACGTATTTATACATGTATGAGAAACTCATACATTTTCAAGGCATTATGCTAGGAACTTGGCTTTAAAACCACAGTAGCACTACTTTCCCATTGTATCACAATGTGTGTACATTGCTTGTACTGTACCTCCACACTCGTCATACCAAAGATGGTCATACACTAACCACTACATGAAAATACTCTCCACTAACCTACGTTGAAAGAATTTGTTTTAGATTTTAAGAACTTCATTTGTAATCTTTTATACTTAGCTGTAACTCCAGTGCACCAATGAACTCTTCATTGTACGCCGAGAAAAATAGTTTATGTTGCTCTTTAATGTTTTATTGTTTCTTTTGTTCTAGGACCGACCTATTTTATTACAGTATGTACAGTATGTTCATGTGCGTGTTTATGTATAGTATGTGTAATATTTTAAATCGACTTCAACAGTGCATTCAGTCTTACTACTGCTGCTTTTTAAGATTTTAACCTTAGACCCTGAGGAGGAATTTGAAAATCCTGACACAAGTGATGAGACCCAGTCCTTACTAAGTGGTGCATTTGATGAGGCAGAATCTGCAAACTCCTTTCAGGAAGTACTAATGGAATGGAGAGCTAGTAATGGAAGGAACAATCAGAACTGGAAACCATTGGAATCCCTCCCAGGTACAAGGATTAACCACTATAGACAATAGGTGCAAAGGCTGAGCTTCATTATCAACAATAAAATCTGAATACTTAAAAAAGTAAAAATTGTTTGACTAAAAAAAACGACAAACTATACGGCAAATCATCAGAAACTTCCGCTGTATTTATACAGTACAAAAATGTTTTTTAGAAAAAGAGTTTTGGGATATCGATTCAAGTTTTTTTTACCATCATTCTGTTTAATTGATCATAACTGACTCGAGATAACATTAAATTTTGTGATTTTGTTACGTGGGCACTCATTCATGAGAGAGGTGATTGGGCACAGGCGTGGAGATGTTTGAACCTGTTAAATGCTAAGCCTTATGTAAAACAAGAAAGAAAAACACAAAAATGAACTAAAAGACCCTGTTTTTTAAGGGGAAAGTACCTTGATAACATCAGTATGTAGGAGATTGGACTTTGTCAGCACACCATTGTTCACCATCTGCACTCTTCTCAACCAGCAGGGTCTAACGTGGCAAGATGTTACAGTCTTGTCAATGTCTGGGAGACCATGAGTAGTAGGCTCTGCATTTATAAAGTCCTGGGACCTCGCTTGTTATTACTCTTCCTGAGAAACATCATCTTATATGATAATATACCAGCAGGACAGCAAATGTATGGACAGCTTTCAAAGGTGGTCAAACACTCTAGTCACCTAGTGGCGCTATACAGTACATGAGTACTGTACAGTACCCTCAATTGATCAGTCCTCTGGTTGATGATAAATGTCAGTCAGTATAATGTGTTCACCTATGTGATGTCTGTTCAATAAAATGTCAATGCAGCTACAAAAAACATATTTTGCCATCTTCCTGGTGCAGACATAGCAAATTTGCATGGGTTGATAGGTTTCTTCTGATTCACAGTATATTCTCAGTGTACATTTTCTGCAGTGTTCCACTGTTTTGATTAAGGGTGCATAATCTCCCCATAACGCTTAAAGAAGATCATATAATAAAGCTATAATACAGTTTTCATATTTTATGTAAAGAAAGTAGCTAAATCAAAAATGTTTCTTGCCTTCATGGACAGTGACAGTATTGTTTCATTTTGAATTATTGGTATTTCTTTATTGCAGTTCTCCTTTAATGTTCCTTTGATTTATTCTGAAATGAAGCATTCCTTTTCCTTTGTCATATCCTGGTGATACTGAAATAAAATTTTATATTGTTAATAGCTAATATATAAACTTGGATTAAATGCATGTTATATAAGTGAATTCCATAAACATTGACTTCAAATCCATTGAAATTTAGTTAAAAAGAAGCTTGTGAATTTTTCTCAGGCTACAGAAATTCTGTTATTGCATCATTTTCTGTTACTCCCACTGTATGGTAAAACTGCTTACTTTTGCAGTGGAGATAAATTTAACACACTTGCATTTTTAGGTAATGACTCCTGTCTTTGGAGAATTTGACTGCACCAAAGTAGAAATGCTTACTTCCAAGAACTTAGTTTAGAAACAGTGCTGTTTCATGTGGAAATCTGCAATTAATGCACATGTAATTTAAAAGAGCAGTTTTTCTTGTAGAAATCAGAACTAATCTGCAAAAAGTGAAAGGAACGGTTGCTTATATATCATTTTTATTTTTTATTTTTGTTCCATTTTCTTGTGTACGCTATTTTATTATCTCTGCTTTCTGTTGTTTCTCCTTGGATTTTATTTAGTGTGCCTACTGCTTCTGTAAATAGCTTTTGAGCAGAAATTCAGAAGGTGATTGTTGGAAAATGTATAGTGAAGGAAATTAGCTTCACTGAGTGTTCTAAAGCCCATTGCAAAAGCATTATACAATTCTTTGCTGAACATAATAGGAGTAAAATTTTCAATCTGCCAGTCGCCATAAAATAAATATGGCTGTCAGTTTGTCAGTAAAAATGTTTTCAAGCGAGCACTGACATTTGTAATTCTATATTTTTACTTTTCTGTGATGTACAGTATTTGGCCAGATCTTGTTTCACATACTGTAGTTCCATACAGAGTGGTCCAGCTACATTAAACAACTCAAAATTCTAAATTTTTGTCATTTTTTTCAGTGTCAACAGAAGTGTCTGCAGTTCAAGCAGACCTTGTGCAAGAAAGAAAACCAATTGATATTGAGTTTAGGGAACACAGTTTGAGCTATATGGAAAAGCTGTTGTTGAAAAAACACAGACGGTAAGGTCTATAAATATATATATTTCAGTTGTAAATCTTAATTGTAATCTTTTGAACCTGTGTAATAAAATTAAGCATTATTTTAAAAGTTGTTCAAACTCCACCATATGGTATGTTTTTAGGAGAGTGAGCATTGGCTCTGTCAAAAGTAACATAGCATTAAATTGCTTATGGTTATCTTCTTATATGTTTTGTTGTGTTCTACCAATGTATAAACATGAAGAAAGCTAATACCATAAAACAAGTAAGGAACCTTGTCATTATCCCAGTATTCAGGTCTCTTAATGTAATCTTTGTACATTTTAGGCCTTTTTACATATGTTTTACATGGTATATGATAAACAATTTCCTTTTAATTTCTTTATTCCAATGTAGTAATCCATTTTCCTGTATTGTACACATTTGGAAGCACAGCTTGCTGTAGAAGTAGGGCAGAATAGCTTGAGGCTCTGCTGTTTAAGTGTCTAGCAAAGAGCCTTCGATACGGATGACAAATCCCCAGCACATGACAAAAGGAAGTGTGGTGTTTGCAGTGACAGTAGAAAACCTTCATTTGACAGCAAGAGAAAATCAGCAGTGTAAGACAAGTGCTAATCTTCGGATCTGGCCAGTGCAATATACAAGGCACAAACCTCAGTGTACAAAAAGCCTCAGTAATTGTCCCATAATTTGACCATGACATCTTGCCTGCATGTCAGATCATCCCTTCATATCATAACAAGTCAGAATATATGGAATTGTGAAGTGTTTATTGGAAGCAGTCTGAAAAAAAAGATTAAAATGCACATTTTTTCGCTGCCATATTCATAGAAAATGATTTTAGGATTAGATTTTTGCTTTTGCTTTTAATTTTACTTTGCATTTTTTGGTGTTTGTTAAGTTACATAATTGTTTCAGACTATGGGTTTTTGAGTATTTCTTCATGTAATGTTTCTTACATTGAGGATGTGCATCCTTAATTTAATAAGTTAAAATGCAACATGGTATTGAATGCAGAAGAACATGTGGTGTGGAAGATCACCACTTTTGATAGTGTGCCTTAGGGGTTCATTGCACATAACATACTCTGAATTCTAATGTTTAGAAAGTTCAGGATGTTATCTTATTAATAACATCTAGAAAACAGTATTAAAGCATTTTGGACAAAAAATACAGACCAACAGTGTATGTATTATTTTACATGAGATATATATGAGAAGTACTGTAATTACTGATATTATTTCCTTGCAGTCGTACAGTGCTTTTCACTCTCAAAGATTCAAAAGTGCTTTACATGTAGGGGAAGACATGTAATTCACCACTGCACGTACCTTAGTGAAACATGGAGCCATTATAAATACAGTATACAGTATGTCCAGATATTTCAAAGTTATCCCAATTCATTCATATATATTCTGACTAAACCCATGGTTCAAGTCTGTTTTAATCTTTGAAATACCTAATATTGAAGTGCCAGATGTCCTCTATCCATCTGGGGGTTACAAAGAAAAAACAACATAATTAATTTTAAAAGCACTTAAATCAATTCCTACCTTTATTTTCTTTCCAGAACTCCTGTAGAACAATATCAAGCCGTGTCTTCTGTCACTTCATTTCAAAGACCTCCAGTGGATTCAAAGAGATTGATAGATGAAGAAGGTTTAAGTTTGACAGGTTAAATTACTTTTCTTAAAAACAATACAGTACTTTACTGTAGGTCATGTTCTGTTTTGCTCATGTCAAAAGTCTACATCATATTTGAATCAATCTCCCTGCTGAAATATATTGTTCTTTTTTTGAGGTAAAAGGTGAAAAAAACTGATTGGAAGAAAACAAAAAGTACCCACAAGTATGCCTTGACCAGACATAATTAAACGTCTTTTGGAGAGGATCCATATTTTGTCTCTCAGAGACTGTATGATAACATTTTAGTCAACCATCAGAAAACTGGGGGACGACCAAACTGTAATTTTTTACATATCGTCACGCATTCCAGTACCTGGCAACTCTTAAAATTATGACATGCAGTTTCAATTAAAATGTATTTGAATGAAAGTGTTGACACACACAAGATTATCCTGAAAGCAATCACGGTTTTCAGTATTCATTTTTGTAAACCGGTGCTTTATTTATTTAACATTGCTCTTGGCATTTGACATTTTTTTGCCTCCTTAAATTATACAAAATTACAGACCTGTCAGATTTCTCTACAGAGATGCTTGTGACCACTTGAAGTGGCAAAATCCCTGTCTTTTAAGCCTGTGAATAAACAATAACCACATGTGTTATGGCTTTTGAGTTACTAGTTATGTAATTTATTATCTTTTTTGTATATGTGGTGTACTTAAACCATGTTCTTAAACCTGAAGTATAGCAACTTAACTCTCAGCACAAATTGGCAGAGTAAACAAAAACGTTTTCTTGACCTTCATTGCTCATTGCTTTGGTCATATTGTAAGTGGACATATTTTAAAAGCAGTCTAACTTCACCCTTTACATCATAGCCCTTAGTCCATAGGGTTTGATTACACTGAGGTTTTCTGTCTTTAAAATATTTTCTGTCATTTTGCAGCTGAAGAGCTGGAGATACACAGATACTGTGTTTCACTTTTTACAGAAAAAAAGATAGATCAATATATTCAGCGTACAGAATCACGCTTAAGTGTGCTGGAGTTAGATGAGGTAAGTACATTTCTAACTGGTCCCATGTGATGTAAGACATCAGTGTGTACAAATCCCTTTACGTAGTTTTCATACGTAATAAAGATGACATCCCAATCAATGCTTCTAAGACAATTTGAAAATGAATAGAAGTACTTTTGATACAAGAGAAAACTATGTACATCAAAATTATAGCTATGTGACAAATGATAGGCTATTGGGACACATGTTTTATGTTCATGTTTCAGGTTCTTGAAGACCATTTGGAGAAAAGAACCTATTGTGTAGTGCAAGAAGAGGATTCCAAAGAGTAAGATAACTTTCAATAACAGTGCATTTACTGTATACTCAAGGGTAAAGGAATAAAAAAAGATTTTCTTTGGTGTGTGGTGTTTAATAATATTAACAGACTCAACAGGCAGAATTTAGAGTGAAACCACTTTAATGTGAAACCACTTCAAGCTTATTAGCAGGCTTCAAACATTTATTTTCATTTTGTAGTGAAATACATGACTCGTGTAAAAACAAAACAACTGCAGGTATTGATGATAAGTGTGTTAGAGTTGATGGATGAATGTCTGTACAGCCTTGTTTTTACATAGATTAAAAAAACACGTTTTTAATCAACAGATTTGGGCTGCATGTACAGTAAGTAGTTTTTAAATCTAAGGAAAGACTACAATAGTTTAGATTCAAATATGTGTCTTGGTTGGAGTAACATGTCACAAAGCATCACTCGGTATATTATTTGTTCCGCAAGAAGAAAGGAAGCTGAAAGGACTGGGGGGGGCTCACCACAATTGCATGGCTTATTGGAAACTGAAGAACTGACAGGAAACAAAGAGATTAAACAGTTGAAGAAGCTTGAAATGTGTACTCCATCCTTGCAAAGAACACCTCTGTCTTCAGGTGATAGGACAAGTCTCTCACCAGGAAATGCAGGTATTTAGAAAACCTTACAACTATCCGGAAGCGTTTTAGGTTGACAAAAGCAATGATGTAAATTGGCAATTTCCACACAGTGTAAAGGTATCAGACAACCTATTGTGGCAATAAAGCCTAATTGTGCACTGCCATTGACCATATTCATGTATACAGTAAATGGCTTTATTGATTATCTTATATCTTATAGAGAAATATACTTTCATGTTACATTATCAAAAAGCTGAAGACTATTTAACCATTATTAATGTCTTAGTGACAGGCGTAATCAAAACTCTTGTCTCGATGCTTAGCTAAATGTTATATAAACTGGATTTGCTTTAATAATAGCTTGTGTAAGCCCTTCCAAAATATATTTTTAACACTTTAAGAAGGCAAGAGCATGAATAGGTCATGTAATAAATCTAATTTATGTTTTTTCGTGTAGCTTCTGTTAAAACATCAAGACAAACTCCTCTGAAGGATTCTTCTGAAATGGAAAGAAGGGCTCATGAATATCCACAGAAACCAAAACAAAGACAGAGACAAAGAACAGAAAAGCAAACTGAAAGTTCACCTGTGAATTCTCATACTTGTACTCCGACAGCATCACTTTTGTTAGACATGCATTTTGAAGATTCACCATCCACTTCAGAGAATGGATCCAACCCAAATCACTGGCTTGAGAGTAGCAGTCCTACAGACCTGGGCCTTACATTACAACCATCTAAGGTAAAATATTTGTAAAATATTCAGGTAATTAAATATAATGTTGAACTAGTGCTGCACAAAAGATAAAAATGAAAGGTTAATTTCCCTTCTACAGACTGTAGCCTCTGTCAGATTGCAAAATGGTTTAAAGATATACTAATTATTCTAGTAATTTGTGTTCAAAGGGCTTTAATGGCCACTTAGATGCACACAAGGGGTTTATGAAACAATTGGCTAAACATTTTTTAAAAAGTATCATTGCATTAAAGCAGGACAAAAGCGTGTGTCTGGGTCAAAATTCACATACTGTACTTCTAATTGCACTTATGGCAATGTCAGCTTGTTAGATGAGTGAGAAAGTCAGTCAGTAGTGAACAATAAGCTATTCAGAACCATGGAATATCATTTCACAGGTTTTTAATGATGCAAAACATGATTAATTAGAGATAATTCTTCTTTAAATAATTTAATTTTATATCTTGTTACTTGCTGCAGTGCAGACTACTTTGAAATCCCAAGGCATTTAAGAATGTAATTTCAAAGTAACACTTGTTGTTAGTTTTAATGATACAATTCTTGCAAGGCAAGGGGAAAAAAAGTAACATTTATTAAATGTGTAAAATTACATTTTTGATCACAGACAGTTGTCATCTTAGGCTTGTACTACATCTAAGAAATTATATTCCTTTGGCAAAAAAATAATAATTATTCCCCATTTTCATACTACCTCCAGAACACAGGTATTTAGATGTTAAAAAATTAAACATATTCTGCTTCTTTGAAATGTAATAAAAGTTATCTTTTATTTCCTCTCACAGCTACTTCAAAATGATTTATTAAATTATTAAATATATTAAATATTATTAAATATGTCAACTAGCATATGTGAATGGTCTGGTCTGATGTTTTCCATTTTGTTTTCAGAGGCTACAGCATGAGCTCAATTTTAAAAAAGCAATGCAGGGTGACCAGCTCAGCTCCAGTATACATGACCTACTAATGCATTTTCAATTTTCCCGGTAGGCACTGCACAGTCTTGCTCAAAGAACAGTGATGAAAGGAGACCAGTATTGTGGCTTGAATGGGTTTCTTACTTTAGGCCTGGAACCTGAAAGTATTTGTCCTGATCCTTTTCCTCCTCAAACTTCACTGGAAACTGGTAGAAATGAGGAATGCCTGCGTGCAGGTTAGTTTAAATGGTTTAAAAAATGTAGCATTTTTGTAAGAATGCAATATAAAAGTGATGTTACTGAAGTTATAGAAAAGGCACCTGTGAAACAAAATTATTTTAAACTCAAACAAAAATACTCTATATTGACTTTTTGATCATAGTGACTTTTTAAAATGTCACAAAAGCTAGTACAATTTTTCCCATAGTTAGATCTCATTCACAATCAGTACTTGCTATGGAGGATGAAGTACTTCTTGGAAGGAAATCTTAAGTTTAAATGGAGCTAAAATTAACTGCATAAACCTGAAATTGTTGTATTTTAATTATATGAAGACAGTTGGGAAAATATTTGTACGGCATAAAAACAAAAAGGAATAATGAAAGAAAAAGCGTAATGTGTTCTGTAGAATATCCAGGTCTAGGGAATGGAATTATTCTGAAGGAACCTTTTGTTTACAAACCCATCCTGATTTTGTTTTAAAATCCCTGGTTGTACCAAAATCTTTATGTTTTTCATTTTTACCTCAGAGCATACAGTCAACATGAACAGATGCAAGTGTAAATATTATGTGACTAGAAGTTTAAACACACTATCAAGAATGTCTGAAGGACACTGCAGTGCTGTTGTTTTTAGATAAATAATTAAGTTGAAGGCCAAACTGCATACCCAGACGACTATATTTTATATTGTAATGAATTAATATATTAATCTGTAAACTGCTAAATGGTGGTTCTTATTGCAGGTTCTTATTGCGATATAGATAATAGTATATATGACTTACAATCACTTTTCTAAGTAATGACCTTGAAGGTTTTCAGATAACTACAAAATGCAGTATCTTACATCTATATCTTACATCTCAGATAATTAAATACAAGTGTTGATACTGGGTTGTGTGTTTGCTTATCTTAGGGTTTGAATAGACTCGCAATGCTTCAATGCTTGATCCCACAGTATAAAAAGCAAGGATTCTGCAAGTCAGAAAAGAACTATTGATTTATTTTCTTTTGATAGTTATTTTTTTCTTTCTTTTTTAAAGAAATAAAAAAATATTCTACTTATTTTCAAATGATTGTTAGAATGATCTTAACTGTGTAAAGTTTAAATTACGACATGTCAGCTTGCAGAAGTCGATAAGGCCAGGGATATCGTTTTTTTATATCCAGTTAGTATAATAATATGTTAAAGTAACACGTCTATTGTGTAAAATCAATGCCTGTTGACTGCATCATGAAGTTTTAACTCCTTGTAGCTTACTGACAATGTGAGCCTTCTATAGTATATTAGTTACTGAAAACACCCAGTGTTGTATTGATAAAAACAGGATTGTGTAATAGTATAAATATTTTATAGGGGAATGAGACACAAACTAAAGAGGAGCCATCAGATTATGGAAGATCATATACAGTATATGTATACTATATGTCCACTGAAAAATGTTCTGCTGTCTTTAGAATAACAATAGGACTCTGTTTAGTGTATGACATATTCAGACCTGGCATGCTTCAGGAGCAATTAAACTAGGATATCAATTCAATTAAATGTAAAATCTGGGCTGGTATGTGGTAGCTGAGCTAAATGACTATCGGCTTTAAAATGTGAGGAAAAAAAATCATTTTATGACTTGATATGACACACATGACTGATCTCAAATTCCTCATTTCCATTTTCATTTCCATATTATTTTCAGATAGCTTACATGTTCCTAAAAGGGCAATGTAGTTGGAGAGAGGGCGAATGAGCAGAGCATAGATCATGTGCAATTAAATTACCTGCGAAAAAAAAACAACAGGTATATGTGTGTTTAACAGTTGGAAAAGAGGACTGGAGACCTAGCAGCAGTTTTACAGAACAAGCCGATGAGTCAGTTGTCAGCAGTGTAATTGGCAGTGTTTGGAGCAGACCATTAAGCAGTCCTCAGCAACTGATCTATGCTGCTAGAACAGACTCATCTACACAACGACAGCAATTGCTAGGTAGGAAATTAAACATTCTTATCACACTTTTTCCTTTCTTTATATTCTGTGTTGCTTGCTGTGTCTCACGCAACTGTTCGCTATGTTGAACGCTTTCAGTCTGTAAAACTCATCTCGTTCTCTCATTATTCATTATAATTTTTGAAAATCAGTGTCACCTGCTGCTTTGCAAATATTAATAACAGCTTCAGCTTAGGCAGCAAATGAATTTCACTGGAATGCACCTTTTAATTTAAAATTAAATTCTTATTTAACATTTTTAACTTAACCTTTGTTCAATGGGGTTATTTTATTACTATTGAGCTCAGTAGGAAAGTATGAAAGTACACTATAATTTTTGATGAGTCAGGAGTAATGAGGGAGTGTGCATTGCATTTAGCTTATTAATTCCTTCCCCATAGTGGGTCTATAAATACATTACATACAATGTGTTACATTTTTCATATGTACTGAAATGAAACCTTTCTCAGAACTGTGGCTGGAGTTCTTGTGCTCCTAGTATGAACTGCTGCATTGAAGACTCACCATCATATTCGCAGTTGGTTAATAATAATGAACAATGTGAAGTTCATTAGAGTAATGACAGTATTGGATATCCAACCAGTATATATTTTGGAGCTATTGAGAGGGTCACTGCTTGTGTGGCAAGCCCATCTGCCTCCCTGACAGCTAACCCTGGAGGTGCTCAACCAGCTGTGCACTGATCCGTGGGTCCTGTTGGCAGTCAGGTAATGGCTTGGGTATGTGTCTCAACCTGTGCTTGCAATAAGCTTCTTTAGTAGTCGAGCCAATAAGGAATCCCCTATATATTTTAATACAAATATGGCAGGTGATTAATGTATTAAAACAGCTGATTTATATAGTATGATGACTGATATACAGTAAGTAATTGATGTACTAAATTTAGTGTATGAGTAAAGCTGTTGATTAGACACATAATGTTTGTAGAGCTGTAAGGTAGTGCTGTTAAAGAGAAACTAACTACTGTACATAACTAAATACTAGAAACTTAACTACTGGTTTCTTGGTGAAATGGTACAATTATTGATTCTTCCCAAATAAAACCACATTTTATAATTTAAGAATTTAGTTAATAATAAGAATTACTACCTAATACAATTTTAGTATACAGTTGCAGATCTTTATGAGACACCTAATTCATTGTTGATAGAGTTTTTCATATTCCTAAGGCCACAAAGACATTAATATTTAAGAACTAAAGAGCCCTTTTTTCTAAATAAGGCAGCTATTCATTTAAATCTGGGGCTACTGGAACTCAGATGTATAGTAGCTGTTCCTCAAACTAATTTAGTATGCAATTGTGATTTAAATAGATCCCTTGGCAATGATTCTTCTATTAAAAAATAATACATTATATAATGCAGGACCCTTTCCAAGGTAAGTCTGTTCTTCTGCAGATCACTCAAAGGCTTGTAAAAATAATCCGTTCATTCTGTGACGGGTCTAATTTCTTTCATCACAAATCAAATTTTGGGCTTACTTCAAGTGCCTGAACTCAGTCACTGCTGTGAAAATAAAACAGGTTCAGTCAAAATTAATAATCTCTGTTAGATTAAAAGAAACTGTTAACATTTTTAATACAGCCGGTATGGAAGTTACTAGGAATTAGAAAAGGAATATTTAAATTGCAAAGAAAATTAATGTTTAATATTTTGTAGGACTTTTCTGTTCTAGTTACTGCTAAAGCCGTTGGGAATATAATGTTTATTAGCCATGGTATAAATAGCTGTGTTTTCATGTTATTTGTTTTCTAAACAATGCTCAGAATTGGTAAAATTTTTTATTTATTTCCTATGAAGGTATGTCGTTTTGTGATATACTGTAAAATGACTAAAAATACGGGGAATTAGCCGAATTTTCCCCATATTCTGAAACTGCAAAACAGAATAAATGCCCCAGTTGTGCCATATTAACAACCTTAATGAGGTTTAAAGGAATGTCAAATAAGTCTTTACGTGTGCTGAACTGTCTCTGCATGCCTGCCATTCTGAACTCCAGTGGAAAATGAGAAACTGTTGTCAACTGCGAAGAAAGAATCTAAGTCTTCTAGATCAGCTGGTGCAGCTACACGGCCACTTTCCAGAGCTGCAGTTGAAATTTCGGAAATCGAATCCATTGATTGTACAGAGAATGACGATCCATACCTAGAAGATGAAGCTGCTAAGTATGCACTGGCAAGCTTGGAAGAAGAATTCAAAATGCTTGTTAATGACAAAGGTAATTCTATTACAGATTGTAAATTTAAGAGGAATAAGGAGGATTAATACTTTGTTTTATTTCTTCAAAGAACACATAAAAATCCACAACTAGTTGACATACAGTAGGCAGTGGAACTGTTGTAAGACTTGTGATCATAGCAACTCCAAAATGCAATGCAAGGTACAATAGGGTCTCAAGATCTCAAGATTGCTTATTCACTATTTTCTAGATACTTTGTATCTCAGAATTGCGACTTAGCAACTCAGAATTGCGACTTAGCAAAGTGTGACTAATTTTCTGGGATGATTGAAGATTCAGTACAGACTAATGAAATTACATTTTTAAAGTCTTGTTTTTAGGCTGTCAGATACTGATCATTCTTAAGAGCAAAGTCAAAACTGGCAATCACTGTGCAATTTCCAAAAACATCAATGAATCAGATTATGAATTCATGATGACTTTTTGACGGTATTTAGACTCTTTTAAAGCCCACAAAATCTTTTTTTTTTTTACTTTGAGGTAAACTATTTTTGTTATCAATGTGAATAAAATTCTTCTTTGTTTTAATATATTTAGATGTGATAAAATCACTGCATGATCCACATGTCTATCAGAGTCAAAATGGATTAAGATCACAGAACCATATGAAGACCTTTTCTACAAAGTAGGTATTTTGTAGAGATTAAAATAGTCTTTTAATTTATTTCTCATAAATATTTGCTTGATAACGTGAGTTTTTGTTTCCTTAATTGATGATTTGATAATAATTACGGTTATTTAAATTACCTAAGATATTTAAGATAGTTGAGATTTTTTCATCTGTAGATTGCAAGATTGCTAAAATTTTTAGGTTCACTGTTATCAAAATCCAACTGTCTTATTCTGCAGATTCTTTTTCATTTCATATTAAATTTTTAGTGTCATTTTATCCAACTTGCTGATTTGAGAGCTATTTGCAAAACACTAGAGAGGATAAAATGTTCATTAATCTAATAAGTAGGTCAATGAAGCAAGAAAGAGCAAAGTTAAGAGTGAAGACCAGAACAGACAGTTGCCCCTGAGGACCTGAGTTTATTATCCTGCTTTAGCAAATAGGGGCGAAGTAGTCCCTGCAACCTTGGAAACAGCAATATTTAAAGTAAACATTCAAAACGTCTAAAACTACTGTTGCCAACTATGAAAAAGAATAACAGTTCTCATGCTGTAATATAGAAATATTTATACATGCTTAGCTGTGTTCATGTTTTATTCAGGAGTGCCTGTAAGTCTTTGGCTTCTTTTTAAGTTGTTCCAGTAATGTTGCTAAAACTCTGCTTGTGCTTTCATCTTTTAGAAGCTGGGATGTTGAAGGTCACACAGATGATGAAGATGAGGAGATTTTAAGAGACAAACAGAATGTTATGTCATTAATATGACTGTAAATGGGAATTGGAGAACATACAATAGATACACCTGTCTGACACTTTCTTCATCTTGAGAGCCAGATCAATTTGTTCCCCCAGATAAGCAAAACCAAGGTGTGGTATGAAAAAAGCATGCCATTTGCAATCACTACTGTATTATTATAACCCTGTGTATCAAGTTGCTTATCCCATGTTTGTAAGAAGCTTACAAGCTGCAGTTGTACTCCTGTTTCAGAACTTTGCAAGCTTTACATTGTTAATGTCATTTTGGTATATATTTGAAAATAAATGTTTGGATGACGTTACCAATAAGTAATTAATGTATTCTTGTTTCTTCATTTAAGAATGTTCTTAACATATATTTGGTTGATTGGGAAACCGTTTACCTCAAATTAAGTATGTATTGATAATTGACACCGTGAATACACATTTAGTTATACCGACCATTAATCTAATTGAGGAAAAAATGTAATATGTTCAAAATACCTAAAAAAATGTAACATTAAAAATTGAGCGTAAGAATGTTAATCTTATTTTTAAAAAAGTTTATTTTCAGATGTTTGAAAGGCCTTAGCAATTTAAAGAAGTTGGCATGTGTATTGTTCAGCCAACATGAAAATGAAATGAACTGGCAGGATCATTTGATTTAGAGAGTTCCTTGTACTTTACTGTATTTAATTGACATGAATGTATACAATTTTGTTTGGTCCAACAAATGCATTTTCTTCCACAGGCCATTGACTTTCTAATATAATAGAATATTATCACTAAATTGACTTCATCCCCCACATAATGTTTGTCGTTTTGATATCTTGCGTCAAAAGGAATGCAGGCATGTAAGATCAATTAATTTGTCTTTACTATAATTCATTGTTGGCCCACATTGATTACGTTGCCAAGAAAACAACCACATTAAACTTCACAGAAATTTAATGTGTTGGTATGCCATGCATGTTTGCCTGCACAGTTAAGACCTACCTACAGTACTTCTCTGTTAAATAAATGTAAAGTACTTGGTGTCTGACCAAATTTCACGAATTGTTAATTTCTTTTTCCAACAACTGTTAGAAGGCAGTTGGGACACAGTGGAGAATGAGGCCCTACACTCTCTTAGAAATGTAATCAGAGCATCAATGTTCTCTAGGAAGTGTGAATCGGTGCATCGGTTAATCCGTCTATTTCACTTTCTGCTGTGTAGTTGAAAGCAAAATAAAAAAAAACATTTAATTGGGTCATTGGACTGCATCCCTTTATGAAATAATGCATGTCCCAATGAGTCCAACATTTTCTTTTCAGTATACTGTACAATGAGCTGCAGACTTTCTGATCCTTAAGTAAGAATCAGGTAGATGTAGATTATATGGTAGCCTTCTTGTTCTAACGATGCATGGTATTTTTCTTTATCTAGTTCTTTGGAGAAAATTCAATAACAAGGCATGATGACTGCAAACACCATTTAATTAAAAGGACATTTTTTCTCCACAGTCTTCATTCAGGAAAATATCCCAGAATCAAATGGTCAATTTCTGAATCTTTTAAGCACCAGTAAAGTTTGTTTATCCTATTAGTAGAGCTTTGAGCTTTAAAGTAATGTGTATTAAATTAAATTAACAAATCCACTGAGCCCAACATTACACATTCTATTTTGTCTGAAAGGCACAGTCTGTGCAGTGTTCTTTATAAAACAAACAGGATTAAAACCCACAGGTCAGGGCAAGATGGGACTTGCTTTTTTCATACTTGCTTTATAATACCAAGCTTGAATTGAGGCAGTTTTTGCTCTTGAACGTATAGTTGTTCTTCTTTGTATTGTTCCCTATATAATCTGATCACTAATACATGATCCTTGTATTTAAATATTTGTGAATTGGTTACTTTCAAGTTTAGATTTCAGGTATGATTATGCAATGGATCTTGAATATGTAATTCTTCCTTTATTTGAAAATTTGGAGACCTCAATGTATTTATTAAAACTATAATCAAAAGCACTTTGTGCATAACACAGGCTTGTAAATGTATTGACTTGTCAAGTAAGCGACAGTACACCAGCAAAAAAAAAAACAGTAAGTAAAATAAAACAATTGTTAAAAAATGTCTTAACACAATCACTGGGCTCAAGTTGCTATGGATGGAGAACACAAACAACCAGCACAGTACTGAACAATGACCCGATTGGATGATTTTGTGCTAAACCGTTTTTCACACTTCAGGTCTTTTTGAAAGCCAGCTCTGCGCTTATCCCTCACCCCTGGGATCAAGGATTTTATCATTTTTTAAAGGTCCATGTGCATTAGTCAAAACGTTCTAAAGCACTTGTGGATCAAGTATTTACAGCTCTTAATTATTAGTGGTTAATTAGTTCATTGGTGATGACATATAACCTAACTGAACCTTAGCCGATCAGTTTCTGATATCCAGAACTGAAGATTCATTTGAGTCATAACATCAATGCTTAATCAGACTAAAACTGCCTCTCATACTGATTAGTAGCCTCAGGTCACTTTTGCTAGATTAACAGGAAGATGCAAGTGCAAGTTAATTATTTACAATGTTAAATAAAACCAAGTTTTCATGGGTGAAAGTAAATATTTTTTTTCTTCCAAGCCAAAACCCTAAAATGATCGAAATCCTACCAAGCCAGCAATGATTTTAAAATCGATGTGAAAATAGAAGACCCTTTCAAGTTTCAGCAGCACTTTGCCTTGGGCACCAATGAGTAGGATTTACCTTGTACCTTGGAAATTAATGAAAAGACTAACCTAAAATTGCCACTTTATCACTGTATCAGAAACCTTTCCTATTTTGTCAAATTGGTTGCCTCCCTGTGTAAGTTGTTGTCCCCTGAGTTTTATCCTAGATGGGCTTAATATCGCAGTTTTCTGATCTTTCTTCTTGACAGAAAAGCTGTTTTACAGGTTGTCTCAGCTGGGCATCTCTTGATGCTGCATTTTCTTGATGATCATTCTCTGATTTAGAAATGTGGAAAGCGTGTGTTTGTTTCAATTAGTCTAAAAGTGAATGTTTACACTTGAAAAAATTCGGCTTTTTTTCTGAGACCATCCGAAGGAACATATTTTCATGATCAGCATTAGAAAAGGAAAGTTTTTTTACTTTACAAGTGAAAATAAAACCAGCCAAAAAGAGATCAATATTAACAGTAGAACTTTTACAGACGTTAAATAATAACATTAGAATAGAAACTGCATATTCACTGTAATTAATTTGTTACTTGTATATGAGATTAGTATTTGTAATTATGGTGATACTGTGATATGGCTGATACACAGAGTTGGAAAACTATTGAGGCATCATATGAAAATGTAAAACGTCAATAGCATTTGTTTTTATAGTACTGAAAACCAAATGTGGGGACCCAGTAGGCATGAAGAGGCTGATGAAGTACTCCAAATATTAATAAAAACAATTAAGAGGAAAAACACATTAAGATACACTTCATGAGTTGGAAAATCAGACTGTTTTCAGTACTAACTAAAGTATGTAATTATCATTGTAAATATATGATCCCAAAATTGAATTTCCAGAACCATATTCGTTTTAATTTAAAAATACTGTCACACAAGGTCTCCAATTGCAACTAAAATATAATAAAAAAAACATTTCCAAATGTCAAATCAGAATATTATTAACTTCCTTCAGGCATACATGTCAGTTTAATTATAAGTTATTAAAAGACTGATATTTAATAAATGTGATGTTAAAAATAGAGTTTATTTGATTGTCGTATATATAAAACCGCTTCTCCAAGCACACAATCAATAGAAAGTGATGAATGTATAATAATCCTTTACAATTCAGAATGTGTGCTTTGTGTAGCTGCTTATTCTTCAGCTGTGGCTGCCTCCTCAGATGCATTTCGGATAGAGGTAAACAGTAGCAGCAGATTTGTATCTCGAAAGTGTTATTAAGCAATTCTTTATCAACTGGCGTAGATTGCAGAGCTGGTCAGCATTTTGACTTGGCAGGGAAAGCAGGAATCCTCGATGTTCTTTCATTGTAATTATTTGAACTTGTCCTGGACACCAAGCAATTGCAATCTCCATACCCACCAACAAAGCGCTTGGATAGGAAACCTCACAAACATAGCTGTTCCATGCAGATAACGCTCTGCTGTTCCTGTCCAATACAGCACAATCCATTTCTATCCCTTGCAACTCACTGGATCTGATCCTGAAGTCTCAGGTTAGAGATTTAATTACAATACACCAGTACCGTAAGAGGCTTGCCTTTGCAGCTGTTGCATTACCCCCCAATCTAAGCTACTCTGTTTTAAGTTGCTTATACCAGTGAACTGATTTACTCTGCCCGCCTTTTTAAAGTTGCTTATTGATACAGTTACTGTTCGACAGCCTTCTTCTGTAAATATGCAGTGATAAACAGAATATTGCACTGCATGTGAAGCCTCATTTACTAAAGAGGTGAAGCAATTGCACTCACTGTGGCAGTGAAAGTGAGTACAATAATTTTGTTACAAGCTCTTTTCATACTTTATACTGTGTATTATATACATTTCTAGGCAGGAGTATAGGGGCTTTTTTTATCATAGTTGACATTACCAGTACAGACTCATAGGGAAACCCCTGCTGGGGTCACTTGTTTACCCAGCATATTCTTGACTGTTCTTATTTACGTCATACGTTCTGACAAGCAATGGGAGCAAGGCAGAATATGCCCTGGATGGGACACCAGTCCATTGCAGGGCACACACAGACAGAGACACAGACACGCTCACACCAGAAGCTAATTAATGTACTGGTATGTCTTTGGACTGTGGGATGAAACTGGAGCATCCAGAGGAAACTCCATACAAACATGTGGAGAACATACAGACTCCGCACATATAGTGCACCAGGAAATACACCCAGTACCCCAGAGCTGTGAGGCAGCAATCCTAACCGCTCTGTCACTATGCGTCTTTAATCTGGTTATTGTTTGCATTAATCCTATTCTTTGGATTAACGTGTGAATATATTTCTTCCTTCTCTGAAATACAATGCTTGATTCCATAACATAATCAACAAAATTTCTGGGATGGAAAAGGAAGACGTAAAAAGACCAACAAGGAAGGACAATATTTCTTTTATTTGTGCTGTTAAAAGCGAATTGCGCCTGTGGGCTCATACCTACACTACACTGCACTCAAATGGGTAAGTGATACTTCAGGGTAAAATGAAACATTAACAGAAAAGTCAAATCAGTGTTTATTGTCTCCCAGGACTCTATAAGGCTGCAAATGAAAGCTATCTTTCAGTTTTACAATGCCTTGCTATCCCACACTTAAATCTAGGTACTGTACGTAATTATTCAAGCAGTACTGATTATTTAAAAAGCCCCTAAAGACTCTCCTGCCAGTAAAGGAGCATTTCAGGAGATTTGGATTATGAAAGAACATGACAGAATGATAACAAGCACCAAAAAATATTGAGAGCCTTATGTTGAGACAGCTCTCAAAATTACCCTAGGAAGGACAATATCGGTATTTAAATTAGAATTCCCTCATTCATAAATTTCTTTTGCTGATTTTTTAATGGAAGGTCTATGACAACATTTGACACTTCATGAAGACTTTATTATTCAATACCTCCTATTGCACCTAAAGCTTATACTGTGTATCAGATTATGCAAGTTGAAGCACCAGTATATGGGAAGTATATGTGACAATTAAATGTAATTAATAAATCGTATGTGGCAATACTGATTCTGTCTTGAGCTTGGCATGGGCTGGTTTCTTTTGTTTCTGTAGATCAGCAGATAATTTATATTTTTGTTATTCTAGCTGTGCATTTTCATTACATGCAAGGATATGCAAAAAAAAGATAACACTTTCGATATTTCAAACAACTGACAAAGCTGTGAAAGCTACACTGATTCTGAATAAAATAAAGGGCAATACAAATATTAAAGAATGGATATATCTACAGGTTGCGTTCTGCCTCAGTGGAACTAACAGTAACAGAAAAACGCTCCTTGCTGTGACATGTTGTACTAGCTCACCCCTTGAGTCTTTGCTTCAGCCTGAGTATGAAACAAATACAAAAAACACACACTGACAGCAGATGTTAATGCAGTGGCCAGAGTTCTCCAAACCACACACTGACTTCAACGTATGCACGAGATGTAGAAGAGGAAGAAATAAGCCTACGTGGTTTCAGAAAATCTGCGACATTTCTGTGACTTTCCTGGCCATACATTTCCTAATTTAAAAATTTAGGAAAATTAAAGTTTGTTCTCTTCCATGACCGACTATATTAGAAGAAAAGCCTAAGAGCCAATTTGCCAGTAGGAGATAAAAAAACTGTTACATTTTTTTTTCTCATTGTCATCACAATTTGTTTCTTAATTAGATTTGGGTGGCCCATAGATCTGGCAGTGAGAGAAATGAATTTTTCTGTAGGTGATAAATTATGTTTATGTGCAAAATACAAAGCATCAGCTCCTGGCAAGAGATTGATAAACTGATCTAGCTGCTTGGTAGTTTTCAAGGTCTGCTTTGCATTGCGCTTACTACACAAACACAATTTATCACACACCAGACACATTGCACACCTCTCCTGCTGATGGCCACAATGGATTTTTAAATGGGAGGAAAATGTAATAGCTCTGCCGGTACAAACAACTATAGCGTATAGAGTCCTATTAGTGAACAAGTTCATCACATCACAACAATTTGGCCCAAAAAAAAAACCACAGAAAAAAGCATGTAATGTGCAAGAATAATGGGAATCTGTGAGTCATGTGTGTTGGCACATTCGCTCCTAAAGCATCTTAATAGCAACTAGCAACAGTATATGAATGTACAGTATAATAAAAGCATACCTGGCTAAAAGAGGTTAAAACCAGTGATCGTTGAATCAAACAATTACAAATTAAAAAAACAGGAAGCCATGTCAAAGAGATGTCAAAGCACTACTCACATCTCGTTTAGAGCTGCTTCGACTCGTGATGGCTAGACTTTTCCAGTGATGTAATTACTACCAAGCGTGGAGCATACTGCTGCTGTTCTCTAATCTTTTGCGTGGGAGCAGTATAAATTAAATCATTAGCATCTTAAACACATATGTTTGGAAGAATGAAATATGTAACGCCCAACCTAGAACAACAAATCTCCCCGTATCAGTTTAAATAAGATCTTCCATTACTGTGTCTTTTAGTCTGATATAAATTATAATTTGGTGTCCATTGATTGTGAATGTATTACTTGTGAAGGTCAGGTAAGAACATGACATTTTAGTATGTGCTGGCTCCATCAGAACTGTGCCCTCTTCAGCTGCTCCTTTGGAGTTTCGTAAGCTTAGAAAGTCAAGGAAGAAGATGAGCAAAGTACAGTATGAACACAGCAGTGGCCTAGTTCACAGGAGCTTGCTGGCGTTTTCTGAATGTGATGGTATGAGCACAGGACAGTTCCAACCTAGTTGGACAGTTTCGTTAGCACACATCATGAGTACAAATGTTATATTCAATGGTGAAATTGGCTCCCACTTGAATATCAAATAATGTAAGCTCAGGGTACGAAAGGAAATGTCAGAAAATTACCCACTCCATGTTCAAATCTGCCTCTTCTTCCCCACCTACTTCTTGCTTTTTATCCTGACTCTAATACATAGGAGATCTGGGCTGTTGGTCAGACATGGTAAGTGTTAAAAAATTATTGGAAGACTGAGGTCAGCTATAAAGGATACTATGCAACCTCCTTTAGGGACTGTCTTTAATTTTCCTGTTTTTAATTTTCTTTTTGTTTTTAACTTTGACTTTTTTGTTTCCCGGTCCAAGGCAAAATTCTCAGAATAGACGGTGCTGAGTAAGAAAAAAGCTGAATAAAAACAAAACAACAGACATCAATGGCTCTACAAGAAAGCTAGAAAGGAGAACCGTAGTGAAGGGGTCCTCTTAGAAATTACCTGAAGGTACAGCAGGATTTTAACTCACCTCGCAATGACAGCGTGTTTATTTTACTCTGGCTTCTGAACTTCAGCTCTGTCTCAGTGCCAGATCCTCAGGAAATTGATTTTTGTGAAACAACTGCTTGCCAGATCATTTTTTTTCCCTTGTTGTGTTTTGGCCTTTCCAGGGCTACAAAACAGGGCAAACATCGTCTCTTGTGTTTCCTGACCTAATGAGAAGGTGATTCTATTAACAGTAAATTTTAGGTTCTGGGTATGTTAGTATTTCTCTGCAGGTGCTGGAACGTAGTGAGATGGTGAAGCTGCAGCCTAAACTCCTCTGTCAGTCAATTCAGACACGGTTCATATCTTGTGTTTATTATCTGTTATGTATATTGGATTTCTTTGTTGTACTATTTTAATGTATTGTTTTTTTTGTGAGAATTAAAACAGTTTGCTTGTCATAATATCAGGAATGCTGAAACAGTCATTCTTGCAACCATGATCTGTTTAAATTGATTTCAAATGCTAGTGAGTGTATATGACTTTTATGGGAATGAACAGCTTTCACTGTTTCACAGGGCTGGAGAAACTGACTCCCTGCTTTGGTGTTGCTTCTAAGACACATACTTGTATATGTGCTGGTTACACTGGTGAAAGCTAACTGTGCCCATGATGAGCATTAAAAAGGCCTTCTGTGACAGCCAGCTTCGAGCTTATATTCACAATGCAAAATGAGAAGCCTGCTTAAACACATCTGCTTTCAATGTTGTTAAACACAGCTTATACATGTCTGTACACATGCAAGAATTTACCTAGAAATTGCAACTATTGTCTTTGTTTTATTGTCAGATAAATAATATACAGTATGGCTGTTATGACTTATTTTACTGTTGTTTTGTTAATCCATAGTGTAACACAAGCTCCAGTTTTAGAATTACAGCCTGGGATATTTTGATATCAAACAAATGATATTTAACAGCACATTAATAAAATCACACATTGTTTTTCTGCCATTTATCTTCATATAATACTATGCAAATGAAACACATTAGTGAAAGTCAAATATTCCCTTAAAGAACTGTGTGATGGAATAGAGGATTAATTTACTTTGAAAGGGGAATTTAAATGAATGAGAATAACAGGTGGTTCTCATTAAAAACGAAATAAGCAAAGCTTGTAAAAAAACTCTACTTTGTTTTGACTTTTAATTAACACTTTTTCGTTAATCTTGTTTAGACATGGATGTGCTTATAATTACCCCAATTTAGTGAAACAGGCCACTTTTCCCAACTGCTGTGGTGGTAGAATTCTGATCCTAATCTGTTATCAGAACGTTCTGTTCTTCTTTCTAATGTGAGTGGCAATATTAAAGTCTGCCTCTGAAACCTGAGCCAAGTTCAAACGTTCAGACATTGTACCACGTTGATAACACAATCATTTAGACGGGACAAGAAAATCACCATTAGCACAATACTGTCTTAATTAGTGGATGCAGATATAGTCTATAATAAGACTCTGGACCTTATTACTCCTTTTTATTTGACTGTAGAACAGGTTCTCTTCCAAACTCAGGCATGAGACGAGCTTAAAAGCCCTTTTACAATGCATGCAAACTAGGCAACAATTTTACAATAAAGTCTAGCTGCAGTACTGAATTACACATTTAAACCATTTTTAAATGTGGAACATAAGATTAAAAATAGTAAGGCAGAGACAGGACATTCACTGAATAAAATGGGAAATTAAATGTCTAAACTGGACAATGTAGGAGTTCTTTATTAATTTTCTATGTCTTTTTATCTTTGCTAACAGCATCCAGGATCATCAACGTCTGTTCTAGTTTTAATCAGATTCTTGCCTGGACCTCACTATTTTTTAGCTGTCAAACTGGACATCATTTCTTCTCTTCAGCTGAACAAAGCCACACAGCCCTGGTAATGGGCTTAGCTTTTAAACAGATATGTGAGCTAATTGAAATTCATGAGCGCATGTTCAAATGGTTCTGTAGCCCAGAAACATACACATACCGTATGACAATGTACAGCTTAATGTTTTTGATTTCCAACAAGCATTTTTGTGTCCCTGCAAGCTACAAAGGAGACAAATCAATGCCAGTCTATTGTTATTTAGTTGCAGGATCTCTATAAATGGATTCACAATGATGGTCTCTTGTATTTTCTTCCACATTAGACATGAAACTTTTGGGTTTGTAAGCTCAATTACAAAATGGAGAAGAAAAACAACAGATAGATATTTAATATTGCACTACAACCTGGTACTAGACTAGGGGGGTTTCTTGAATTTGGTGCAAAACAAACCTGGAAATTGTACAGGCACCCCTGATTAAAATGGTCTTGAATGAAAAGAGGAAAAACCTAGGGAAGCAAATTTGCCTTTATCATTCCTGGCTGCAGGGATGCAATTGTCAGCCTCCTTTAAGATAAACTGATTTGAAGCATTGTCCTACAATTACTCACCAACCACTGCAGTCTGTTGTGGGACAAATCTGGAGCTGTCTGAATCTATAACTCCACATCTAAGCAGCGGTCAATGTAAATGTCACGGTGCCTTCCGCAGATGTACGTTTAGTAGAAATTAAGCATCAGGATGCTAAAGTCTCAGAGAGGCATCTGTCACTTTTTTAATTCTTGTCCTCTTTATAGGATACCTGTTTCTGACAGATCCCCTCCGAGGTGATGCCTTACCTTCACTGCAGTGTTCTGGATTTTACAAGGGCTAAATTATACACTACACTGCTCTCAAAGTTACCTCTCACAGAGGTGCATGAAAACATTCATAGGAAAACGAAACCCCCCAAAAAACCAACCCACACAAACCTATTCACATGGGCCCGGAGAAATAAATCCAAGCTGATTTCAGTGAAAATACAGAAATTGGCTCATGCATAGCAAACAAAATTTCGACTTTAATAAATGGAAAAGTGTAACATGCTGTGAATACGAATGCAGTCCGTTAAATGTAACCTGCATCATGCAGAACCGTGTAGGTGCCTGTGGGAAAGGAATTGCACTGCAGAAAACAAATCAGAGGTCATGGTGAAGTTTTATAATGCTCCGTTTAGATCACACCTTCAATACTCTGATATGATCTGGCCACTGTGCCATAACAATTACACGGATGTCATATAGAAGGTTAAAAGACGGACAATTAGACTTTCAGACTAAACGTTATAAATCATGAATACAGGTATTCTTACCCTTTTCTAGATTTATCAATCACAATCCTTAAATGGAATGAAGAAGCCAGATCGTAGAACAAACTGCAGACTCCATAAGACCACATTCAGAGAAGTTATGATACGACTTTCATACCTTGAGGTTAATCGAAGGAACAGCTTATGAAGTCTCCCAGAATCTTTGGTTGCAAAGAAAAGACTAATGCAAACACTTATCACAAACAGTCTTCCAGGTCATGGGTTTTCAGTCCTTGTCCTGGAGACTCACATACCTGTTGGTTTCATTCCACCTGAGCTCAATTACCTAATTGAAGCCTTATCAAACCAATAAGTTGCTTGATTGGAACACATGCAGGTTTTTTTCTACTCAAACGTTTAGAATGTTATGCTACTTATGAAATGCAATAGGGCAGCACAGTGGTGCAGTAATTAGCATTGCTGCCTCACTGCTCTGGGATCCTGGGTTCACTTCAGGAGCTGTGGTGCTGTCTGAATGGAGTTTGTCTGTTCTTCCCATGTTTGTGTGGGTTTACTCCAGCTACACTGGTTTCTTCCCACACTGGTAGGTTGGCTTCTGGGAAATTGGCCCTATATATGAGTGTGTGTGTTTGTGTCTGCCCTGTGATGGACTGGCATCCCATCCAGGGCATATCCTTCCATTACTGATTAGGCTCTGACTCCCCCTTGACGGGAAGATTGGGAGAAGCTGTTAGGAAACGGATGGATTGATGCAATAGTTAAAAGGCAGCCTCCAGCATCTTAAAGAGCCGAAAACAAACAGTTCAAATTAAACCTGTTAAAACGTTAATTAGGGTTCAATTGTAGAACATAGAGTTAGGCTGTAACAAAAGCCAGCATATTTGTGGGCATACAAGACCAGGGCTGGGAAACCTTGAACAGTATGTATGAGAATTTGTTTCTAAAACTGTACTCTACTGAATTCTATTTTATTTTCTTGCTTGGCAACAGTAGACCTTGTGGAGGCATCTGTTATGATTATATGATAAAGTGTTTCAAGTGACTACATTATTTCAATTAAATTAACTTAAAAAATGAAAACTCCAAAATCTAAGTCATGAGTAAAGTGCATGGAAGCAAAATCACAAATCTGTGTTGTTGATTTGCTCTCCTACACTGAAATGAGCTCTGATAAGCTGCGAGAGCGAGATATTTCGAAACTGTCATTATGGGTTATCCATGTGTAAATGAATTTAACGTTTGCTGTTTTCTTTTTGTTGTCTTTTTATCTTGATTGATGACAGTTGAAGTGTTTGGGGGTAATTAGAAATAAAATTGAAAATGCAAATTAGTTATTTTTTAATTCATACATTACAAATAAAATACACTGCACATACAGAGATATGGCATAAGTAAACATTAACTGCCTGCAGAGTGTGTAATTTGGCTCTTATACTCTTATGTAAATGATTGTGCTATAAATAAAAAAAAAACATATTTATGAGTGCATTTATGAAATACCCTTTGAAATATGAGCTGAACACTGGAACAGCTTTAGATCACAGAAATCTGCAAATCAGTTTTGGGAAGGATTTTGCAGATTGAAGCCACGAGGAAAGATATGATAGCAGATTATACAGATACTTTTTCAGACCAGCTCATTACAGTCACTGGGCATGCAGAAAAGGTTTCTGAGCTCCATTGCTGAGACTCAAAGCTCTCCCCAGAACAAGTGATGTTAGCAAAAGGAGAAACTACCAGCAGTGGAAGCACTGCCTTCATGCCTCTGCTTAATGTTATAAAAGAGTCTCAGGGCCCAGGATACATCTGAGTGTTGCAAACTGGATTGTATTCTGTGTTTCAATTTCCCCCCACTGTCCCTAGAGAACACTGTAGTTATCGGATATGCAGCGACACAGCACTCAGAGCACGCCATTCTCAAAAAGTAAAAAAAAAATCAAGGAATCTGAGTGTCACCATGCTTTGATCAGTTGCAGCGTGTGGGGCTTGTCGAACGTCTGACTAATAGATGTTAACCTTTAGCAAGGTCCTGGCCAAATGATGTTAGAGCCTTTAACAATGACCTCTTTGAGGCAAAGGGAGAACAGGAAGTTCTCCATGGTTTCTCCATGTTGCAGTTGCAGACACCAGAAATCAATAAAGCATAGCAGAGCTTGCACGCAAGCTAAGAAGAATATTTATGTCTATTTCCTTAATGAAGAATTTACCTTAAGAGATTCAGGTAGCACAGAAGTGTTGTCACAGAAAATCTGAATATTTTTTCTTTTTTATTCATTGATGTATTGTATTTCTATCTTGATGAAGCTCTAAATTTGATTTTACATAACAAACACTGTACAGAAAACCTTTGTCTGGTTGCTGGATTTTGAATAAGATTATTAATTATAATATAATAATTCTGAGCAATCCTTACAAGGTCACCCTATCTTTACCTCTGATCTATAGTAATCTAAAGGTTGAATTTGCAACTCCACAAAATCCCAGAGAGCTTCCAGATAGCCCGATCAAAGCAGTCAAGAAGAAATCTAAAAGGCTTTATGTCACTTTTAGCATTAATCACATACTTTTTAATTGTATTTTTTGGCATGATATACAGTAGCCATCTGCTTTTCTAATGCCAACCTTGCCGTTATCTTAATATCAGCAATTGACAACAGACCAGAAAAAAAAATAGGATTTGGTTTGGGCAATTAGGCAAATTATTTCCTCTATTAAGAAAAAAAAAGAAATCTGACACAATGAAAACAAACGTCCTTGGCCACAGGATGGCCGTGGCGCGTTGTTGAAAAGGATCATCGCCTTTTACAGAACTTTTCAGGTGAAGACCGCTGTGTCTGCTGGGTCACTCCATGTAAAACCACCCTTTCAAAACAAGAAATAAAAAATAACTTGTTCTGGCAATTTCAACTTGCTCTGTCATGTACTGTTTAGCAATTTGTTCATAGGAATGGCTGGTCGCTCCTTCTTGTCAGCAGTTTATATATTTTACAAAAGGATGACACTTTTCTAAATATATTTTATATATATAGTAACTATATTTAACTATACTGCACTTTTATTTAATACTAGGTGTGTGGTAAAAAATAAAATTACAGTATAGACCTTTAAAGCCACCGTATTTATTATTAATGCTTTGTATGAGACCTGTAATTTTATGGTTTCTGAATGTATTCTTATTATCACTTTCCTAAACTTAAAGACAGAGCATGAAATTCAGTTTTCTGTAAGATGTAGCCGTTAAATTGTAAGAAAAATATTTAAATCGCTATGGGCTTCTGCTACTCAACTCCTAATAATAAAACTGTGTGACTGTATGACACCACAATAACAGAATGAGCATAATTAGTGTAATTATGAAGACCCAAAAAATCGAATGACCCGGCAAAGGCTATCAATCTTAAATTTGCTGAGGATCAATTCCACAAGAGAATTAACCATCTTAAGACTTATGAAGTGAATCAAATTATCCACCCAGAGCAATATCTTGTATTGATTTTTTTTTCTTCAGGGGTGATGGTCTGAAGACAACATTGTCTATTAGTACGCATCTAACAGGATTAGGAAAACTGTTCCTGAAGGATACCTCTTAGTTGTTTCTGATAACATCTCACTGACATCAGTTGTAAACTAGAAATGTCATATCTTTAACGCACTGCACTGTTAAAACATCTCCTTACCTTCTCAAGCTCAGTTGCCTGAGCTTCTACTGGCATAATCTCAGACTGAATTAAAGACAGCTCAGGTGATAACACCAGACAACCTATGCCAAAGTGCAAAGCAAAACCCATAGCTGTATTGGCAGGACGTTTGCAAAGATTTGGATTAGCTTTCAGAGTGCCTATTTAAAACTTTTCAAAAGAATTTTATTCCATGGTACTTCAAGACTTTTTGTCTCTGCTAATTAGAATCTTGCCGTTATTCTGGGTTTTATTAGGAAGCCCAGTGTGTTGTAATAAAGCACCGCTATACTAACAGTAAGATAAAGGAA